CAATGCCATTGCTTCATTTTCTCAAACGCCTGTGGTCATTCCTAGAGGTAAATACAATGTCGATCTCTACAAGAATAACCTCAGATTATACGGTAGAACTTATGCTCACAAGATTTTCTACAAACAAATTTCCACACTCTTCCTTCTTCCAAAACCTGACGAGAAACACATGTATTTGGTACTTAGCTTGGATGTACCTGTTAGACAAGGTCAAAAATCTCATTTCCATATTGTCTTTCAGTTTGATAAGGAAGCCAAAATCAAACCAGCAGATCCACTCCAACTTAACTATGATCCAAATGACTATCCAAAAGATGCACTCTCTCCCACAATGAGCGGAAAGACTTATGAAGTTTTTGCAAAAGTTTTGAGAGCCTTGACAGGAAAGAAACTCATTGGACCTGGAAAGTACAATAGTTTCCATGGCAAGAAGGGAATCAAGTGCTCACTCAAAGCCAACGAAGGATTCTTGTTCTTCCTTGAAAAATCTGTCTTCTTCCTTCACAAACCTGTTATTTATTTGAGACATGACGAAATCAAATCCATCAAATTCCAAAGAGCTGATACGACTGGAAGTGGCTCGAGATTCTTTGATTTAGTTTTTGTGTTAAAGAATGGTAAAAATCACACCTTCTCCAACATTGACAAGAATGAATACGACGCTCTTGCAGAATTCCTTCCAAGTAAGGGTCTCAATGTTGAAAATATCATTTCTAGGGAACAACCAAATATTAATGAAATACTAGGAGGTGAAGACGATGAAGAAGATGACGAAGACTTTGTTGATTCCAAGTCCGATGAAGAGGCAGAGGAGGAGGAAGATGACGACGAAGAATTTGAAAAGTTCGTGGAGGAAAAGGATGCCCTTCAATCCGAAACGGAAGCACTTCTTAAAGATGCTGGTGACATTGACGATTTGTCAAGTAAGAAGCGAAAGAAAGCAACTAGCAGCAGCACCAGTGACGATACTTCCTCTGACCCAAAATCAAAGAAGAAGAAGCAGTAATTTAGTAAAAAACTACTTGTTCACATGTTTCGTTTGGGTGACTGATTAAGGTTGTTTAAACGTGTCGTGCTGAACTCGTGTGGATGTGTTCCCATTGTTCTCTTCTCTCCCTATGAGAAACCTATTTATGATTATTGGCATTCAATATTAAAAATTGACACCCTAGATGGGACTGTTTAGGAAATTTGTATATCCAAGTTTACAAAACATCACAGAGACACTTCTTTGATTTTGGGTCAAACTACTTGTTCACATGCTTCGTTTGAGTGCCTAATTAAGGTTGTTTTAACATGTATTAATTTTTAACGGCGGTATTGGTGATTCAGGAAGTATGGGTGAGCAGCTATCCAAGTTTACAAAAAATCATGCTGCAACCTCCTTCGGCACGTGTCGCTCTAGCAAAGCACTTGCAAAAAAAAATATCAAAACATCTTTCCTCCAATCATCACCTTGGCAAGCCTTGCGATTGATTTCTGAGAGAAGGAAAATTCATCATCATCGTATTACCGAACTCGTTTCCCATAGTTACTACTGGTTTTGTAAAGATCTTCTTTTCTAGTACAATCCTACTACTATAAGAAAAGATTAATCTTTGTTTTACTTCATACAATTAAGTGTGCTTGTTTTCCCACTAGATAGTGTGTATTCATTCTTTTTTCATCATCATGTCTGCTTCCCTCGACGGTATTGTCAAATCAGTGGTTAGTGGTAACACCATCAAAGTTTGCCATCCTCAAAGAGCTGATAAAGAGAAAGTGTTAGTACTTGCCGATGTCAAGACTCCACGTATTGGATCCAAAAACGATGAAGACGAGGTATGTTCTTATCCAATAGTTGTTATAAATTAACTCATCGTGAATCATTATATATTTGCTCGTTATGATTTACATTGGTACAAACGACTTGAATTATATCATCCAATGTATTATTGCTGATTCATTATAATCATCGTTCTCAATTGAAATATTTCAATTCGTCTGATTAACAACATCATTGGTACAACAACAACATTCTGGATCACTCTTTCCACTCCGTATTGTTATTATTATGGATTCGGATAATGACCACCATCATTCAAATGACACACGATCATCATCATGTGGCTCATGATTCTCTTCGAATAGCCTTTTGCCTTCGAAGCAAGAGAATTCTTGAGAAAGAAGCTTGTTGGTAAGCCAATCAAGTTCAGAGTCGATTACACTGTGAAAGAAACCGGCTTGAATTATGCCACCATCTTTTTGGGCGACGAAAATGTGAACGAGGCTGTTGTGGAGGCTGGTTTTGGTGAAGTCAAAGAGGTCAAGAATCCAAGCGAGGATCACAAGAGATTGCTCGAACTCCAAAAAGTTGCCAAAGAAAACAAGATTGGAAGATGGGATTCTGGCAACAAAAAGATTGCCAAGACATCATCCAACAATGCCGAAATTGATACCCAACAATTGTTGAAATCATTCAAGTCGAAGGCCATCAATGTCATTGTCGAATATGTACTCAATGGTGCTACTTTGAAGGTCAGACTTCCAACTCATGAAGTTGTCTTGTTGAATTTAACTGGTGTCTATTGCCCACTCTTCATCAAGAATAAGAAGGAAGGAACAGAACTTGCTCAACCTTTCGCAAAGGAAGCCAAGCTTCACACTGAATATCGTTTGTTGAACAGAGATGTTACTGTTTTGTTTGAGGGTATTGATAACACTGGTAACTTGCACGGAAGTATCATTATTTCTGCCGATGAAACCAGCGATAAGCCAGTCACTTATCAAGAAGAATTGTTATTGACTGGTTATGCATCTGTCGATGAAAGAAGTGCTCCAAAATCTAAATATGCACAAAGATTCAGAGCAGCAGAACAAAAGGCAAAGGATGAAAGAAAATGTTTGTGGGTTGACTATCAACCAAAGAAACAATCATTGGAACAAACTGATACCGATTTCACAGCTAGAGTTTTGGAAGTCTTGTCAGGTGATACCTTGAAGATTATCAAGAATGATGGAACTGAAGAGAAGATCAGTCTCTCCAACATCAAGACACCAAAATATAATCCATATGCTAAGAAGCAACAAGAAAAGAAGGAAGAAAAGGAAGGTGATTCCGAAAAGAAGGGTGAAAGTCAACCATGGGGCTATGAAGCTAAGGAATTGTTAAGAAGCAAAGTAGCCGGAAAGGAAATCCATGTTGAAGTTGACTACAAGAAGGAAATGCAATCAACAAAGGAAGTGAGAAGATACTGCACAGTTTTGGTAAATAAGAAGTCAGTTGCAGTCGAATTGGTGAGAGAGGGATTTGCTTCTGTCATTAAACTCAGAGCTGATGAGGAGAGATCATCTGCTTTTGACCAACTTATTTTGGCTGAGAATGATGCTCAAAAGAGACAAAAAGGTATTCATGGAAAGAGAAGAGCACCAAACCAAGTCTTTACAAACGTTACTACTTTTGACGCTGTCTCCAAATTGTACAAATTATTGAGTGGAAAGTCAACTGCCACAAAGGGATATATTGAAAAGGTCCTCTCTACCAACAGATTTGTTATTAACCTTCCTGGTGATAATTCTACAATCAAGTTCTCCATGTCTGGTATTGCTACTCCAACCACTGGTAATGACTTGGCAAAGGAAGCTTTCCAATATACCTTGCTCAACACTTCATGCAGAGATGTTGAACTTGTTCTCGAAAGTGTCCTTACTTCAGGAGACAAGCAACAACAAGGTGTCAAGCAAGGAGTTTTGTGTGGTCAATTGTTGATCGGAGGAAAGAACTTTGCTTACAATTTACTCGAGAATGGATTGGCCATTACTCAAGATTTTGCTAGAAAATTAAAGTACTTTGATGATATGAAGGAAGCTCAAGACAGAGCTGAGAAGGCCAAGAAGGGTGCTTGGAAATCAGCTGAACCATTTTCTCTGTTCCCACAAAGAAAGAAGAAGGTCCGAGAACAAGAAGAAGAGGAAGTTGAAAGACCAATTTCCCAACGTTTCTCTGTTTCTTCAGCAAGAAATGCTCAAACTATTAGAGTCACTGATTTTGACGATGTCACTACCTTCTATTACCATGGTGCTGATGTTGTGAATAGATTGAAGGATATTGACCAATTAATTCAACAACTCAACCCAGAATCACTCCCAACTCTTTCCACTCCATCTGTTGGTGCTTTGTGTCTTTCACAATTCACTGAAGATAACAATTGGTACAGAGCCAAGATTGTTTCTATCAATGATTCCAACTGCATTGTTTTGTATTCTGACTTTGGTAACAGTGAAGAGAAGCCACTCTCCTCCCTTAAACAAGTTCCAGCTGAAAGTGAACTCTTAAAGATGAAGCCATGTGCTCAAAAGGCTCGTTTGGCTTTCGTTAAACCACACAGACAATTGTTCAGAGTTGATTTGGAAACCCTTTTGAGAGATACTTTAATGGAAGGTGAATGGTTATTAACTGTTGAGTATGCTGATAATGGTATTGAATATGTCACCTTGCAACCAAAGAATGCCAAGAATCAAGATACCATTAACTCTCAAATTGTGCGAAGTGGTTTGGCATTTATTGACCGAACAGTTCTTCAAAGACATTTCAAGAATTTATTGGCATCCTATGAAGAGGACAGAGAATATGCTGCCTCCAAGCATTTGAACCTTTATGAGATGGGTGACTTTGGTGAAGATGATGCTGAATATGAGGAAGAAGAACTCTAAACTCATTTAGTTTTTTCAAATCACAAATGTTTTGATGCTTTCATAATGACATTAAAATTTTAATATTATTATCATTTGCCATACACACTGCGTCACATAATGACGAACACTTGCAGTGAGGCATTCTTTTTTGTCTAAACTCCGTTTAGGAGAAAAGGAGTGTCAAATTGAACGTTGATCTATTTCGTGTTTGTTGCGACAAAAAAATGTCTCTATGGATCTGGTTACTCATTCTCACCATTCTTGTCGTTGCATTCTTTGTGGTGTTTTTCACAGACTATGTATTCTATTGGACAGATCCTGTCAATTGTCCTCCATCCGAATTCCCCTATCAATACGACATTAAAAAGTATGATGAAATCTTTTGTGATAAACCATTCGAAAAGACTGAAAAGAAAATTCTAATTGTCGGATGTGGTTTCAGTGGATTGTCAACAAGTGCAGCACTCACTCGATATGGTATTCCATTTGATGTGGTCGGTAAGTTTTTCGTATTTTCATGATTCAATGACAAGTGTGAAATTTAATAATTTAAATATTTTGTGAACGACATATTTAATCCTATTCTTTTACACTTTTCAAATATAATGATAAACATGTACAATTATGATATATTATTTTGAATATTCAAGAGGTAAACAATCAAATCGGAGGAAATTGGTTTTCTGGAGTTTATGAAACGGTTCACATTATCAGCAGCAGAAAAACTACAGAAATGAAAGATTATCCAATGCCTTCTTCATATCCCGATTTCCCATCGGCAAAACAAATGTTAGAATATTTTCTTGATTATTGTCAACATTATCGAATCAATGAACGATTGGCACTCAATACAGAAGTGACAAAAATTTCTGAAAATGGAGATGCCTATGTTGTGGAATTTAAACAAGGAGATCAAACGTTTTCAAGAGTATATAAGGGAGTGATCATTAATAATGGACATCATTGGTCTCGAAGAATGCCTAAATATGAAAATCAAGAACAATTTACGGGAAAGATTATTCATAGTAAGGATTATAAGGAGCCTTCACAATTAAAGGGACAACGCGTGTTAGTAATTGGTGCTGGAAATAGGTATGTGATTGGATTATATTTTGTGCATCTGATTTTGTTCATATTGTAAATGGTATTTGACATGTGTGAAATTGAATGTCATTCCTTTTTTCAACAATTTGAATTGAAACCCCAAACCAAATTTTTCAATCCAACAACAACAACACACAGTGGTTGTGATGTTGCTGTTGAAGCTGCTCGCTTTGGTGCTGAGAGTCACATTTCCATGCGTAGAGGATACTTCTTTTTACCTCGTACCTTATTTGGAAAACCAGCAGTAGAGCTCATTCCAGCATTCCTTCCGGTCTTTATCCAACAAATAATGTTTAAACTCATTCTTCTCGTAGTTACTGGAATTGACTATCAAAAAGAATACAATTTACCAAATCCAGATCACAATCTTTTCGAATGTCATCCAACCATTAATTCTGAATTGTTGCAATTTGTGAAATTAGGAAAAATTCAACCTCACAGAGACATTTTGCGCTTTAAAGGAGGTAAAACCATCGAGTTCAAAAACGGAGAACAAGTTGAAATCGATTTGATTGTGTGTTGTACTGGTTATAACACTTCCATTCCATTGCTCGAACCATTTGTAGAAAAGAGTGAATTTGGATATCCAAAATTGTACACTGGAATTTTTGTTCCACACAAAAAGTTCTTGTACTATGTTGGACTTGGTCAACCCAGATATGGAGCTGGTCCATTATTGACTTCATCCTGTGATATGCTTGCTAAATTAATCCAATTACAAGACTCAATGAAATATCCAGTAGGAGATGTATTGGCAAGTGTGGTCGGAGAGAAATTCCCTACTCCCCAAAAACCACACGTTTCTAAGGATTTGCTCATTGATCCCCATGTTGCATGGAAATCTTCTCGATTCTTTTCCTTACTCCTCATTCATTTGATGCCCTTGTTTGAAAAGTTATCCATTATGAGAAAGAAACTTCCATTAGCACAACAGGAAAAGAGGAAACAACAATAAAATCTCTTGAAATAGGAATGATTATTGTTCTTCCTAAGTATGTGTTACTTCTCTTTCCTTTGAGTAATCCATTCCGAAAACCGTTTTTGAAGAATTTGGGGAATAGTTTTGATGGTAATTTTTATTTTGAAATTCAGAAAAAAAAAATGTCCGTTCAAAAAGGAATCAAAGCAGCCTCCGAATACGTGAAAGAAGCCATCGCAACAACCGAGAAATTCAATAAGAAGGGAGCAAATTTGTTTGATTTGCTTTCAAGAACACCAAAGAATGGAGTGGATAGTTGCTATAAACGTAAAAATTGGAGATTTGATACTTATTATAAAATTACCAAAGTGATTTTGAGTGCTGTAGGTGTTATTGTTGTTATTATTTTGGATAGAGATGATGATTGGAATTCATCATTTTATTATTTATGATTTGCTGTGATGATAATTGTGTTTGGATGAATTGGAATTTTCTCTTCGGAACTTGGTCATGATGATGACGATAATATATTTTCAATTTTTGCAATAACAATAATAATTATGGAATGAAATGCATTGCAATTTTTACACAATAGGATGGTAAACATGGTACTGCTTGGGGCATTCATTATTATCATGGCAAAGCAAGATCTGAAACACACGAAAAGATTCACGGAGCCTTGAAAAAGGATTTATGGAAACATATTCCACAAGAAAAACTTCAACAATATGCCATCTCTAGGGAAGTTCACGAATATGACCAGTGGATTCTTGAAAATGCCATGAAACAAAACGAAGAAGCTGTGAAGAATGTTGCTCAACAATAATCAACGAGCATTGAATAGTAGTTCTCCTCTGCTCATTCCCTAATTTTTGAATGGATACCATCAACTTGCTTTAATTAAATCATGATTATTTCTCTACTTTGGTGAATTTTCAAATGGATTTCAAACTCTTGATTTGGACATTTTCATTTGGCGCCTCTTTCGTTCGTTACCAAAATTTATGTTTTTCCAAAACAAAAAAATATTATGTCCTCAGAAGAACCCACACACGAAGAAAGCAGCAACTCTCCTTCAACCACCACCACAACGACGAGTAGTAATTTGGGAAAACGAACATTGGAAGAAGCATCTCCAACTTCTACAGAAGCAAGTTCCGAGAGCAACAAAAATCAAGCAACCTTGCAAAATTTGGCTCAAGATGTTCAACAATTGATCAACGCCATTCCGAAGGGTTGGTATTTTACTCCGTTGGATCCTATACGTCCTGGACAGAATGAATATTCGACCTATGAACGTTTTCCATATCATGAATTACCTAGTGCTGAGGATGTTCATAAAAAGACTGGACAAGATCCCGAAGAATCAACATTTACATTTGATGGAGTATTTAAAGGTGTGTGTGAAAATTGTTATTCTGTGTTGACGATCATTATCACAATATGATTTGGTTCATTTATTATTATTCATGTGTATTCACATTATTGACGATCATCATGTAGGTGATTGGAAATGGAAGCTTGATAGTATGAAGAAAGATATCGAACAATATCAAGAATTGAGAAAGAAAGAACTTGAAGAAAAGGAGGAGCAAGAAGAAGGCGACAATAGCAAATTTGGATTGATAAATGTCGATTCAGAATTTGAAGAAGGTGATCTTGAATTAATTCCTCCAGTGATTAGAACATTATTTGATAGTGTTTATCACATGTTTTTGGTACGTATCGAGTTGGAGGTGCTTTATAACTTTATATCTTGTGACATTAATGCAACATTGGATCTATTCACATATGAACATTATGACAATTCTCATGTCTCACACAAACCCATTAGACCGTGGACGCAGAATCTCCAACAGCTTGCTATTTCAATTTAATGAAACCCATTGGTCCACTCAAAAAGTATTATCCCAAACATGAATTTTATTTATTACCATTCTTCAATGACCAACAATCATGTTTAACTTGGTTTGCATTATATGACAACAAAGTGAAAATGTCTGAATTAGATCCAACATCTCCACCAATTCTTGGATCGTTTGATCATCCAGTCGTTGTGAGTGGCATTTCAATTTGTGACGAAGATTTGGAAAATATTTCCTTCTCCGATATTGAATATCAATCGAATGGAGTTGAAGAATTTGTGTGGAGAACAGTACTAGAAGGAAAACTATGGATGTGTTTACACCCAAGCGTTGGCAAAATGCAAATCAAAGACATTAAATTCCTTCCTGCCAAACGTTATGCCATGCACTTGGAAAAATTAAACAATGAAAAAAAGAACAAGCAACAACCACAATCATCATCGACTGATTCCAAATAAACTCTGAAGTATTTATTGACAAGTGGATTGATCAGTTGGTTGACAAGCTTAATGAAATTTGAAAACAACAAAAAAAATGAAAAAACAATTCCACAAGATCATTCATCGACTCGAATTTCTCCAATCACGATCGATCATTTCTGATCGTCAAATTTCCTTCCTTTCACGATCATCCTTACTGAATCTTTCATCACCGGAGAATCTCACATCATCTCTGAATGATCATCATGGCCACGATCGTTTCTTTTCCTCTTGTAATATCATTTCAAAACAATTTTCTAACAATTATGAAAGAAAAGACTTTCGAGGAGAAGATTCTCGTCATGATGATCATGATCAAAAAATTCATTCATTGGGATCGAGAAAAAAGATTCTTTTCGCATGGTTGATTGCTATTGGAATTGGGTCTACTTTATATTGGATTGAAACGGATGATCAAGAGGAGAATGGTTTATTGTTGTTGTCGGTTCAGGATTCAGCGGCAACGACCATGACACCTCGAACCACACGTCATCATGGAGTGATTAATGAACATCATGGAACTGGAAAGAAGAAATTGGTTGTGTTAGGTAAGTGATCATGATCTTGATTTTTCACACTTTACAACACACTTTACAACACACTTTACAATGAATGCCTAACACTTTTTGAATGTCCAATACTTTTATAAATTCACACAGGAAGTGGATGGGGAAGTGTTTCTTTGATTAGTGACATTGATCTCAATTTATACGATGTCTATGTCGTCTCTCCTCGAAATTATTTTTTATTCACACCCATGCTTCCATCAGCATTGGTTGGAACTGTTTCATTACAATCCATTATTGAACCTATTCGACGAGTGTTGGAACGAAAACGTCGAAAATCTCAATCTCATGACAATATTGGTTTGATTGAGTATTTCGAAGCTGAATGCTTCGACGTCGATCCCATTTCTCAAACTGTCAAATGTCGAGACATGTCCAATTTTGTCGTGGAACATGCCCATCATGGAGCCAATCAATTTGAATTGAAATATGATAAATTAGTGATTGCTGTAGGAGCTCAACCTAATAGTTTTGGAGTGAAGGGAGTTGAGGAGTTTAGTGTTCCCATGAAACAACCTGAACACGCTCAAATGTTGAGAGAACGATTGTTGGATGCTTTGGAATCGGCTTGCTTACCTCATTTGACTGAAGAAGAGAGAAGAAATGCGTTGAAGATTGTTGTGGTTGGTGGAGGACCAACAGGAATTGAATCAGGTAAGTTGTTGGAAAGATGAACTGTTGAGATTTAATTTTTCACACTTTACAAAAATATAAAAAACATTGAAAAATTTCACACAGTGGGTTATTTGGTGGATTTTATCAAACAAGATGTGAGCAAGTTATTTCCAAAAGATATTGTCGACAAGATTCAAATTATCATGATTCACAGCTCTGACCATATTCTCAACATGTACGACGCTAAAATTGTTGAATTAACTGAAAAACAATTCAAACTTAATAATGTCGACGTGAGAACAAATGCACGAGTCATTGAAGTTCGAGAAAAGGATTTACTAGTTGCTAATAAGGTCGATGGTGGAAACAAATCAGAACCTTATTCGTTGCCTTTCAGTGTTTGTATTTGGACGACTGGTATTTCACAAGTGCCACTTGTCAAAACACTTGTTGACAAGATTCCTGCTCAAAAGAATGAAAAGTCACTGGTCATTAATGGATATTTGCAAGTCATTGGTTTGCAACATGTCTACGCACTTGGAGATTGTAGCAAAATTCAACAACCTCAACTCATCAAAAAATATGAATCATTCTATGAAGAGGCAGACACCAATCACGATGGAATTTTGACGTATGAAGAATTAGAAGCTCTTATCAAGAAGAAGGAAAAAGAATATCCACATTTTGTGATTATTAATCAAAAATTGAAAAAACTGTTCGAGAAGGCAGATATCAATCATGATGGCGTGTTGAGTAAGGAAGAATTCAAGACTTTATTAGAACAAATTGATAATGAATATTATTCTCCATTGCCATTGACAGCTCAAGTGGCCTCACGTCAAGGAAAATATTTGGCTGAATGTTTGAATCAAATAGAGGAACAAAACGAGGAAAATGTCAACCTTACACCATTCATGTACAAACATTTGGGATCGTTTGCATATATTGGAAGTAATCATGCTGTGGCAGATTTGGGTGCAATGAAAATGGGTGGTTTCACTACTTGGTGGCTTTATCGAGCTGCTTATTTCTCAAAACAGGTGTCATGGAAGAATAGATATTGTTTGGCATCAGATTGGATTCGAACGACACTTTTTGGACGGGATGTTAGTCGATTTTAAGTGTCGAAACAAAATTCTGATTTCATCTTAAATCTCCGTTTGATGAATGCTGCCGAATTGTGTAAAATAGTAAAAATCGTTGAGAAAGCAGTTCCTAATTCTTGACCTCAAAGATCCATGTTGAAAATGTCAGTCAATTTGAGAAGAATTCTTTCAAAAGAAGGTCTTTCTCTGGGATTCGTTGACCAACACTGCTTCATCAATTTGATATACATGTCAAATCCAATTAAGAAATCTTCGTTGGTTGCGTCATCGTTTGTCATGAATTTTTCACACCAAATACACATTTCATCCACATTGGAAAATGGAATCAATGGTCTTTTCTCATTGTTTGCAACGTGATACAGCAAGTTGAACATTTTGATTCTTTCTTCAGAGCTGTCGTCTTCGAGAATTAATTCAGGACTCATGTATATTAACGTACCAATGTTGGCTGTGAGAGAGTTCGTCTGGGTGTTAATGGAAACAGCACGACTTAGACCAAAATCACAAACTGGTATGTTGTATTTTCCATCGAAACACAAGTCATGTTGATTCCAAAATAAAAATATAAATTCAAAATACCCTTGATAGAAACACATACCTTTGGGAGTATTTGAATGATCAAGAATGATATTTCCTGGCTTCAAATCTCTGTGAATCAAGCATTTGGGTTGAATACTATGGAGATATTTCATTCCATTCGATATTCCAATTAATATTTTCAATTTTTCTTTAAATGTCATTTTCATCTTTCCTTTTTTCATTTCCTTAATCATTTCTTCCAAACTTCCATTTTGGCCCAACTCGACGACCATACACATTTGGCTTTCAGAAATGCAAATACCGTAAAAACTGATAATATTAGGATGTCTGAGTTGCACAAGGAGCATAACTTCTTTTTCAAAATTTTCATGAGTGTCATCACTCCTGACAATACTCTTCACAGCAACGTCCATCATGTTGTACTTGGCCTTGTAGACGCTGTTAGTGATTCACAAGTTATTTTGAAATTAATAAAATGTTTGTTCGTGACATTACATACCTTCCACTCGAGCCTTCTCCAATTTTCTTTTTAATTTTCAATTCGTGAGCTGAAATGATATAGTAATCATTGTTGTGAGTTGCAGCTGACCTATTATGTTCGTCAGAGTTCACAGAACCATATTCTTCAATTGGTATATTCTGTTGTAATAATTTTTCCTCAATTTCTTTTTCAGATCTTTGTCTTACATAGACACCTCTTGCAACTTTTATCATTTTCCAGGAGCAAAGGCCACAAAAGACACAAATAAAGGCACCTCCAACAATGGCCAGAAACGTCAATACAATAGATGTTGCAATGATGGCTGGAATGACCTTGCTTAGTGGAAATCCGCTCACACATTTGCCATAGCTGACGACAAAGTCTTGTGGACATTCGTCAATTAAAAAAGGTATGACTATAGAAAAATTCGTTTCTGAAAAAGAAATGCTGATGGAAATTGGTGCATGGTAATTTGTCAAATCAACCGTGCTCGTTTGTTGAATGGCTATTTGAATTTCAATGAGGTTTTCTTTGTGCTTGGAATAATTTGTTTCCAGCACAAAGTTGTTATCTGAAATTTTGATTGAGGGTAACTCATACAACACTGGAATATTGTTTCCTTGTCTGTCGAGCATGTGATTGAATTGCAGTACCATTTTCTCTCCTGGATAATATTTGAAAATTCCTCCGTCTGTCATCTTTTCAACAATGGACGCTGAAAAGGAAACAATTGGTGATGAAATGTTTGAGCCGTAAATTGCGGCTCTATTCTCTTCCATTAACACATTGTCCAATAAAACTGGGAGTGTTTGGTTTACATAATCAAACTCACTACCAAAGGAACTTGCATAGAATATTGCTCCTCCAGTATCGAATGCAAAGTTATTCTTGAACAGTGAATCGCTAATGGCTGTAGCATCTCCAGTGTATAATGCACCACCACGGTTTGCTTGATTGTTGATAAACTTGGTATCCGTAATTGTTGTCGCTTGGCAATTGAACAAGGATATTGCACCTCCACTCGAAAGATAAAATGATGAGTCGTCACGAATTATGTATTCTACTGTGTTTCTCTGAAAAGTGGTTAAACTAATCTCCAGATGATGAACATGCATGGCATGCAAAGCACCACCTGATATTTTGGCTCCATTACTTGAAAAATCGTTGTCCATCAGATACATCTTGTTTCTGCCTCCAAGTACCGACATTGCTCCTCCACTGCCTTTCAGTGCATGATTATTTGTAAAAACTGAGCTATAAACGCTAATTGTGTCACAAATTTCTGCAAGAGAAATTGCACCATTCTTGATAGCAGTATTTCCATCGAGTATTGTGTTACCTATAGTGACAGAATCTGATTTCATGACAATCATTGCACCACTATGAGATGCGGAGTTATTTGATAACAAGGAATTCGATATTTCAACAATCTTGCACAAATAGAAATAGAAGATAGTTTCTGCTTTTGTACAAGTGTTGTTAGAAGCTGTCAGAGCTGCAAATACTTTCCCTACCGAAACCATCTTGATCCATCCACCTCCTTTCTTGTTTTTAAACACGCTCCCTAAAATCTTCATGTTAAATACTAAGGAAACCGTGATTGTGTACTCGTCTTCATCACCATCCTCTGTATGTATGTATTCGAACTCTGACGACGAAATAGCAACATTGATGGTTGTCTCAAAAATGATTGCAGTACGTTGTGCTATATGGAATTTTGAGTTCTCCATAAGCACCGTGTTACAGTTTGTAAATTTTAAACGAGACCTATTGTTCTCATGATACCATAGGTTATTGATGTAAACTGTTTTACAGCCATCGATCAGCAAGTAGCCAGAGAATGTCGTATTTTCAAGAAATACTTCATCTGTTTCAGGTAAAATGATTGAAGAATCAATTAGCTTGGAGTGTTCAGCTTTGAAAAAGTCAGTGTTCACATGGTTGTCCTGAATAATGACGTCTTGCAAAATTGTACGGCGTATTCCATGAGCACGCAAAAACATATTGTGAACCTTAACATTGTCAATAATGATTGATGTCATTGGTTGAGGCTCCAATAGAAATGGTGGATGTGAAAGAATGTGCCTCTCCTCTTTAAAGCAAGAGATGACTTTGGGAGTTAGAGCATCTGTACTCGTAATTGTCAAAGCAATATGCACTCGGTTCACTGTAAGATCAACATCTGGAAGATTGTTGTAACAAGCTGTACGCCGACCTCTATTCTCAACCATGTCACTGACTACATTGATGGTTACAGTGTAATTAAGGCATACATAATCAGTAGAATTTGATTTTGGTAATCTGTTAAGGATATCTATTGAAAGATGTGTAAAAATTTCATTGAAAGACCAGCACGGATTTTGCTCTGTCCTGTTCAGTGTACAAGAAATATTGCTCAATGATGGATTTTGTGGCGTCCCAACAAAATATACCCAGTTTATGCTTGTTGTGTGATCCGTGCAGTAGGAATCTGCTGATGATTGTTCCTTTGCCGTTGATGAGAGCTGTATTACTTTCTTCATTTCTGATCTTGGTGTTGCACCCATGATGATTGTCGTCATCATACATGCCAATATAATCACTCCCAAATGAGTACCTATCACTGCACCATAAGCACCACGAAACAACCGATTCATCATGATCATGTTGTTTAATATTTTGAAAAATAGCTGTGTTTTTTACATGTGCAAAATTTGAAGAGAATCAAAATTATCATCACGTATCAGTATCGGTCTCTCGGTTATTTTCGGCATTGAATCATCAAGCCTCATCATGAGAAAAGAAGGTATGCATTTTTTTTGTAACACTGAATTTCGAGATAATGAACAAATTGAATGTCCAATCAACTAGGTTCTAGGCTCTCCAAATTTCTAATAGTATTGATTTGAATTTCATCATAATGAATCTTGACAAAAGAAATCATTTTCGGATTGGATTGAAATTATTTTCAAAAAAAATGCAAAATCATATGGATACAGCTCATGATCGGATGAAATTTAATAATACTCATGATTATCATCATGATCATCCTCATCAGCCAGACGTGAAATTAATTTTATGCTCGTTAGTAGAGAATTTTACATGCTCAATGGAATTGAAAGATGAGGATGATGAATGGATGATGATGAAAAAATTAAAAGAAACGATGAATATAACGAAAAACAAAAAGAAAAAGGGATTTTTAATGAATTTCCATTTTGTTCAAGAGATAGTTCCGAAACCAAAGAGCACATACATTCCAGAACTTATTTACATTTCATACAATCATTCTTGTATATTATTGAAAGTCTATGATATGAATAGATTGTATAACGAGGCTTCCATGAAGGATGTCATTCAAGTGTTCGATCTATACACAAGAGAATTTAAAACAACAATTGATTTTTCAATTTCTGAAAACGATTCCATCGAATTTGCATTACAGGAAAATTATGATGGGCATAATAATGATGCAATTATTATGCATTCAACCTCTAAGCATGTTTACAAATGTGACTTGAGAACAATGCTATTACAGAGTGGAAATGAATTCAAATTTATGGAAAATTATGTTTGGAAGAGCGAGTCATGCTTTCTTTCTCCAAGAAGAATTACGATTTTAAATTCAACCAACCAATGCTATATTTGTGATTCAAACTACTCATTGGTTGTGTTAAATTTACATTTTGGAACATTTATTCAGAGAATTGACTTGGGATCACAGTTATCTAGTTTCTCCCACATTGATTTTGTGGACTCTTCTACAATGGTTCTCTGTGATGACCATGGTGTTTCCATCTATAACAGGAAAGATGATTCTTGGGTGAAAATGAAAACTATAAACAATGGTCATCGATATCATAGCATATTATGTGACTCAATTTCACACCATATCATCATTTCAAACCAACTAGCCGCTGGATATATTCAAATTTTCACCTCCTCTGGAGAATTAGTGAAAACCTTTCAAGCAATGCTAAACGAAGATTTTATCACTCCCCGTGCAATGTGTATCAATTATTTGACAGGAGAGTTATTAATATGTGACTCAAGCTCTCAAAGGGTTGTTTTTTTCCAGTAATTGCATAAATGTAATTATAACAGAACAAGTCCTATAATAATTGGGTTTCAAACTGTAAAGTTTTGTAAATAATTATTCTGGACACTCTTGTCTCAACAAGCGTCCAGCGTCCAGACAATCACTCGTTTGGATTCACTTTGGAATCTTCAGATAGATCCAAGATCTAAGACAGGTTTGGAAAATTTTTATCCGAACTGTAACTTTCAGTGTCAACATGTAGCGAACTCGAGATGACCCATGCAACCAATTTCAAAGGACTTTTGACGGACAGAATATCAAGTGCTATTTTGCATACGTTCTCTTTCTCGCTCATTTCTCGTTCACAACAAAAAAACAATGAAATTACTTTTCGTAGTTGTGTTGGCACTTGCAGTAGTATGGTGCATGTGTGCTGGTCATTCAGTACAAGCAAAACGTCATGACCTTGAAGAACAAGCTTATAGATCTCAAGATTGGTCTCCCAAACCACTCTACAATCGTCTTCCCAAGTATGTTGAAGAACAAGAAGATTGGTCATTGGCAAGATTCACTCACGAAGAGACAAATGAATTGAAAGAACGTCATAAAAAACACTTGAACAGAGTAAAACAACTCATTCATTCTGCTTTGGAGGAAGTACTTGAAGAGGAATCAATGGATGAAGAATTTGAAGAAGTACCAATGTCTGACAGTGCACGTCGTCGTCCTTGTGTTCCTACTGGAATGTTTTCATTTGCAAGATTGATGGGACAACAATGCAGAACAGGAACTGGATATTAATGATGTATTTTAAATTATGTTATTAGTAAACGAGAGCAATATGATACATCAATTTCATGAGCGTTGGATATAATTTCGGTAGTAGCACCAGAACTTTGGTCCAATAATAGTAGATGTACCTCAAGGTTTTGATCGCTGTCATTTCATGGCTGATGGGAGCCGCATGTTATAGTACTGTAACATGAAGTGTGACAGTCTCCATGTTCAGGTCCAAAGTTACAAACCAGATATAGATTGCAATGTCAACATGCATTATTGAAATTTGACTCGTTCAATAGTGGCAATCATTTCCTCAATTCGAGAGGAAATGTTATTAATCCATTTGTTCACTGCTTTGAATTTTGGTTTCATCACAGTGAAAGCACGTAAATCCTTTTTTAAAATGCTGCAATAGTCGACTCCATTATGTACAAAGTCATTCCCTCCCTGTTGTAGTATGGAGTTGCATATTTCTAAATGTTTTTCGACTGCTTGTTTCACACAAAACACAACATCAATTGGGAATAGTGGGTAAAGAGGATTTTCGGTGTGATTGGTAATGCTAAGTGCACTCTGTTCAATAACTTCTCGTGTGATGGATGATTGAGATTTTGACAATATTGCTATCCTCAAACTGTCCAATATCATTTGATAAAGAGGTTCAACAAATTCAAGCCTATTCACTGTGTCAGGTATTGAAAGCATGTCTGATTTTTCGATATTTTTGAACTTGTTCACAAGTAATTCAATAATGCTCCAAATCTCAAAACAATTTTCAGGTGTCACTTTGCTAGTCATCAATTGAATCCATTCTTGAGGCAATGGTTCTTGACAAAAAAAAGAATATATTTCAGGAATGCAAGACAAAAAATTTTCAACAGATACCTTATCGAAATCTTCTATAATACCCAATTTTAGAGCAGCATTGTAGCTATAGATCCATACTTCCAAATTCTTTTCATAAATAGTTGGTTGGGATGGAGTAACACTCTCAGAGTCTTCTGGTGCAAATAATTTCTTTGATAAAAAGTCGAGAATTGTAAAATAGAATTTGGCTTGTTCTGTCTTTCCAGTGTATAATTCATACATTACCAAATGTGCATATACTGCAGCTACGGTGATTGATGTTCGATCAAATACTTTGGAAAGACAATCTTTAGATTTTTGAATGCTTTTTTCTGATTGTTCAAACAATCCATTTCGAGATTCACACAATGCCCGAACACTAAAATACATGGCAAACATTTCACAATTTTGCAACTTGTTAGTGTCATTTCCAACATCATCACAATTTGGAAAATGTGTGATAAAATTTTCCAATTCTTCTCGTGACACCAACGGATAGCCTTCACATGCCACATCAAAATAAAGATCAAAGACAGCTCGTGAGCTCAATGACTCGGAAGTTTTCAACTCTTCATTAACTGACTTTTTCCCAAGAGGATAAGGTGAGAATAATGGGTTCATGGAATGGGTCGATGGATTATTTACATTTCTTTGGTGTACGTTCGATGAGTGATTTCTGGAGTTTTCTGGAGTCTTTACATTGTTATCATGATTGGTTTTCTTGTTTCTTCTAGGTTCTCTATAGACACATTCAACTTTTCGTTGGGTGCACAAGTAACATTTTGGTAATCGTTTATCACACCTTCGATGCTGTTGTCGGCACTGTCATTTCATAAATAATGTTATTTAATAAATTCATTACTACTACCATAAATAAATGCTTAATTGCATACCTGTTCACAAGCAATTGGAAAAAATTCCGAACTGTTCTCGTCACTACTGTTTGATAAATTATTTACATTATTGCTCTCGTTATTACTAGTGATATTAGCCTGTGCAGTTGTACTTGAAGAAAACGAAGGTATGATAAAGCTACCGATGAAACTCTGCAAGTGTTGGAGAGGGTCGTTATTATTGTCTGTCCAATGTTGTCCCGATGGTATGAGTTCATTTCCATCTCCATCCCGATGAATGAATGAACCTAAAACTTGTTGTCCAGAACTGAATGATGAATATCCGTCATCATTTGCATTCCGTTGTGATTTGGACTCATCCACCAGAAAATCCTCAAGATTTAAAAATTCATTGTCCGTGTATGTAACACTATTGCTTTCTTGATGATGTTGGTTGATGACTCTAGCACACGGCCGTGGTTTTTGTTGTTGTTGTTGATATTGGTCGTTGTTGTTGGTATAACAACTCTCTCCATGATTATTTGGAAACATTTTTTATGAATGATAAACCGATTTCCCAACGTTTTCTTCCATCAAACTCCGAATTCAGAATAAATCACGCCCATGTCATCCTTGAAAATAGAAACTGAAACTCTATTTTGTAGTTACTAATAAAATGCTCCAACATGATGAACTTTTTGCAGATGATATGCTTTTCCATATTTTTCAATACGTGGAAGACCGAAGCCTTATTGTCGTGTGCAGGCTTGTTTCCAAGCAGTGGTATGGGGAAGTAATGGAAATGCCTTTGAATTTGGATTTTTCAAAGAGTCGTTTGCGTCCGAGAGTTGATCATCATTCATTGTTGTTGGAGCAAGAAGAAGAAATTTCAGAAACTGGTTCAACAATGATCAAACAACAACAACAACCTTCAACAGAGCTACGAGAAGCAGAAACAATTTCGGAAGCAACACGAATTTATTCTATCCTAAGTCCTCCAATTTCCAATATTACTTGCTTGAATTTATCCAACAATTTATTGGGACACGATCAACTGAATACTCTAGCCTCGTGCGAAAACTTGAAAAATTTGAAATCATTGGATCTTTCTGCAAACGATTTCAGTCGGAATAGTTCATCTTCATCGTCGTCTTGCAGTGCAATTTTTTCACTCGTATGGAGTAAATTCATGTCTAACTTGACAAGTTTGAATGTAAATGCTACAACACTGGAATAATAGCTATTGCAGCAAGCCCAGTCATGTCCAACTTACGCGAGCTTTATGTACAAACAAATTCGCTCACCAGAGCAAGTGTTGAAGCAATTGGAAATAGCAAGACTCTGACAAATCTTACAATATTGGATCTTGCTTATAATAAGATTCAAGCCTGCGATGTTGAATGCTTGACACAAAGTAGCAACATGAAAAATCTTACTCTATTGGATTTAAGCCATAATGCTGTTCGTCTTGTGGGTGCAAGATGTATTGCCTCAAGCAAATATTTGAATAACATTAGAACGTTAAATTTGGCAAATGCTATTGATGATGAAGGGGTGAAGGTGCTCATTACAAGTCGCTCTATGAGCAATTTAACACAATTGAATTTAGAAGGAGTTTATTCGCCAAGAATAACTCCAAAACATCCCTTTCCAATGTTTGCCTCCAGCGTTTTCAACAGTAGTTTAACCCACTTATCCATACAGATTCGTTTTGTCGTACCCAAGGCGTTTATGAAGGATATTACCGTACTTCACAACTTGCAGTACTTGAAACTTTCGTTTTCTCCAATTGACATTGATGGAGCAAAGGAATTGGCTGCCCACGAAAGTTCGAAACGTATCAAAACGCTTCATTTGATCTGTTGTAAAATCAGCGAAGAAGCGGGTGCTTTACTCATGCAGAGCCCACATTTGGTAAATTTAACTAGTTTAAATTTGAGTGGGAACCAATTAGATGGCACCTTATTATTTAACTTATCCATGTACACTACAATTCATTTCGAAAAATTAACATCTTTAGATCTAAGCTCGAACGGTATCAAGTCTGACGGAGCTGTTCTGATGTCCCAATGCTCTCGATTATTAAGGAACGTTAAAGAATTGAATTTAAACTACAATACCATTAACGACCAAGGACTCTCAGCATTGGCGTCCAGCAAATATTTGAGCAATTTAACTATTTTAAAGCTGAGTAGCAATGGAATTGGTGACTATGGAGTTGCTTCTCTTTGTGAGAGCGAATATTTGAAACATCTGACACATCTCAATCTTTTTGCGAATTCACAAATTTACAGCGAAGGTGCAATCTCTATTGCAAACAGTGTTAATATGAAGAATTTAACATTTATAATGTTGAATAATTGCAATATTGGATCGAAGGGTGCCGTGGCATTAGCCTCAAGCGAATTGATGCAAAACTTAACAGGTGTGTTGTTTATTATTTCATTGGATTTTTGTCACACATGCTTGATCTAACAATAATAGGGTTACATGTGTCCTGTAATTGCATTTCATCAACAGGAGCTCTTGCTATTGTGTCAAGCAAGTACTTGACCAAGTTGCAAGAGCTCGACATGCAAGGCAATGTATTTGGGGGAAATACATACGAAGAGATTACCACACGACTATCCACATTCAAATATTTGACAACAGTTGTCATACAAAGGCAGAGACATTTTATATGAATTATGGTTCACTTGTTTTCGTTGGAGTACTTTCAGCCAGTAGTAGCTGTTCACTTTACGGAGAATTTTATATCATAATCTCAGCATGTTCATCACCCCAATTGATTTCCAACCTTATTTTGGAGAATATCACAATTCAATTTACCTGGAAGAGAGGAAAACTAGGATGGACACAATAATTCAATTATTCGACCGCTCGAGAATTGTGTTTTCAAATGTAACTTGAAACTAATGACAGATGGAAAGATTGCAACTTTTTGGACAATTTATATTTCTTTGGGACTTGGTCTTTTTAATTGTTGGATAGGACAGGAATCTTATCAACTACTGTATTATCAGATAGATAATCAAAGTTGATGTTCAAGCAAATCATTGTTGTAATAGAGCCAGATTTGGAAGTGTTGAATTGGTTACAGTCACTTCCATTAACTGAAAACACGAACTGAACTCCCCCACAACCATGCAACACATCAAGAAATTTCAAAGCACGTATTTAAAGAGTCCTTCTTCCAACGTTATCAACCTGAGACCATTGAAAAAAACATGAAATCCATCGTCGTGTGTAGTGTTTTGGCACTTGTCATCATTGCCTTGTTGAGTTTGAACGTTTCACATGCACAACAACAAAATGATATTTTGCCAGCTGTCCATCCACAAAACAACCTTGCATCCGAGTTGAGACGTCTCCTTTCTCAACTTCGTAGATCATCTCCACAAGCTGATTTATTACCAACCGATGCATCTCTTGAAACCATTCGTCAAAATCTCGAACAAGAACAACGTCAAAACAAACGTTGGTTGATTCAACCAGCACGCAAGTCTGCTGAGAAGAGTGTGGTCGAGATGGCTGATTTGAGAATTGTCGAACAACTTGAAAGAATGAAAAAGAATATGGAAACTCGTCATAAACAAGATTCCGTATTGTTGAAACAGAAATTAAAGGAAGAATTACAAGTGCTTCGTGCTGCTTGGAAGGAATTACTCGAAGAAGATGCCTTTGAAGAAGAGGAGCAAGAAGAGGACGCAGAAGAATTGGCAGATTCTGAATGGGGTCCTCGTTGTATTCCAACTGGTGCTTTTTCATGGGCAAGATTGTTTGGTCAGAAGTGTGTTTATTAAGAAGCACACAATGATTTGGAAATGAGTTGATTGTTGTTGTAACATGTGAAAGTAAATTGTTTCAGAAATTGACTCTTTTTCAATGAATTATTGAAGGTGTTTATTTTTCATCAACCAGGATTCTAAGGAACAGCCGATAAGGTCATGACATTGTAAAGTTTGATAAATAAATATATTTAGTGACCTGTTAAACCATCTATCGCTCCAACAGCATTGTTCTGACTGTGTTCACAAAGATCGACCTTCCATTTTACACATATGTTTCAAAAACACAAAAACGCTCTTTCTTGATTCCACTTTCGAATTAAAATGAACTTTTCCCATCACAACATCAAAAAAAAATCATTAAAACATTTGGATTCCTATTGATTCCTTTTAACATCACTCAGCATGCCTTTCGCCTTCTTAGATTCTCTCTCAATAACTGTAAAACGTGCTGCCGATCTTGAAGCTGCAGATTTCAATGGTAAAAGTGATCCCTATGTATTGGTTCAAGCCAAATCTCTTTCAACCGATGCCATTCCATCCTATCTGAAAGATATTGCTAAAGGATGGAAACAAAAGACGAGCGTCAAGAAAAAGAATTTGAATCCGGAGTGGAATGAAACCAAGACTTTTTATCATTTGGATTATTTGGATAAGAAGAATGAAGGAATCAAGTTGTTGTTCAAGGTCTATGATTGGGATATGCTTTCCCGAGATGTACGTGAGTTCATCATTGTTTTTATTTCTTCTTTCTGATGCAATAATTCATGAATTCCTGATTTGGATTTATTGATCTCGGATGATGATGAAAATATCTGAAATTTCTGAAAAATATATATTTCAAAAAGGATTTCATTGGCAAAGCCGAATTGATCCTTCACAACGACAAACTCGAACACGAAAAGGTCTATGAAGAAACTCTAAAATTACAAGATGTCAAAAGTGGTACCTTGTACATTTCGTACAAATTATGTCGACACGAACAATACGTGTTGGATCATGAGTACAGTTACATTCCACTCGGAACCAACCCTAATTTGGCTGCACAATTATGTGTCCCCAAAGATTTCACCATGCTCTCCTCAAGTGAAGTTTCCGGATCTCATGCAGCAGTGTTGGCCAACATGAACACTGGACATGTCATTGTAGTCACTTATTGTAAAATTGGTGAATTGAATTGGGATCAAGTTTCCAAGAATTTGACAGAAGAACGTTTTCGTGAAATGAAAAAGGAATATTCGAAAGTGGAAATTGGAGAAAAGAAGGATCTTGTGCCTGAAGCTCATGCAAAGAATAAGGAAATTACACACATTTTGGAAATACCACTTACAGTTGAAAAGAAGGGATTGGCCATGTTTGCCACAATGAGAATGGTCGGCCATTCGAATGGTGTCTTGATGATCTATGTGTATACTGAACCAAAAACTGGCTTCGGTAGTTATAGAAAGGGAGAGGATTATGTGAAGAAAGTTTCTGAGAATTCTACTGTGTATTAATGTGTGTATGATAAGGAGATCGATGCTTTGGTTGTGTTGGAGCGTGGTATTCATTGATTCAGGTATTGCTTGTTCATTAATATCATTTCAAACTAAAAGCTATTTTTTCACACTTTACAAAAAAATGTCCCAACATCAAGCATCTTCATCGGGTCTGAACACATCAGCAGCATCGTCCTCGACAACATCCTCGGAAATAGTCATTAAAACCGTCGACATGACCGAAGAAATGAAAGACATGGCAGTAACGGTCACAAAACAAGCCATGGAAAAATATACAATCGAAAAGGATATTGCATCGTTTATTAAAAAACAATTTGATGAAGTGTATGGAAAATATTGGCATTGTATCGTCGGAAAGAGTTTCGGAAGTATGGTATGTTTTTTTTGGAGTGAGTTCATGATCGGAACGAAAGAATTTTGTTGAATATTATTGGAATGATCATTGGTTGAAAAAACAAAATTAATATTATGGACAAAATTAATGATGGTATTGAAAATGAACAAACACATGCGCAATTGATTGATGTAACCATGATTTTAAAACGATTGATTTGGATTGTGTGCTTTATATTTGGGAAATGTCATGAACGACACTTGTCAACCGTTGGAAACGTACAATCAAATGCAACTAACATTGCGATTACTACATCATTACCAGGTCACATACGAATCCAAGTGTTTTATTTACTTTATTTTCTCTGGCTTAACAATATTACTATTTAAATCAGGTTGAGAGATAACAGAATAATTCGTGAGCAAGAGCATGCAAATAAAACAAAAAAAGAAAATATGAGGAGACCAAGCATTAGAAGATGTTTTCGCACTCATTCATTTCAAAACAATACCGAACACTATTTTATCGACACGGATGAATTCTTATTCAAGTATATGCTTCTTGAACGCTTCAATATTATGTGTCACCTTTTGCAACACTTGGCCGATTTTATCTTGTAAGTGCATTATTGCCTTCTCTGATGAAAACAATTTCCAAAGCTGTTCAGAACCCTCCAATGCAGTCATGGTCTTTTCTACCTCGAACAATGGTCCACCTTTGGAAAACAATTCATTTGCAATATTCCTCGCCCGAATGATAGCAGGACGTGTTCGCAATGGAAACCTCAAACAACGATGAGCTGACACATAATTATAACTTCCGTTTCCTGATAAAAAGTATAAAAAGTCTACTTCCTCCAACTCATGAAGGTTGTATCTGAAATCTACCAACTTTACAGATCCTCTTGGTAAAATTATCAGGATTTCCAAACACGTCAGATAACACTAAATTCAACAAAGTACATCCACCATTGTGACCTGCTTCATGAAATCGCGTGCCTGTTCGTTCAACACGTCTTCCATTTAGAGTTCTAAATTGTTATCGAATTCACCTCGAACAGGTTCATGGCTTGTTAAATATTCTTCCAAATTTCCCCAAAAGCTCTCAGATGTGTGAGTGTATGAAATGTCTCTTTGGGATGGACGTTCTATTTTACTGAACTCCACAAACTGATGACCGTAAGTCATGGCATCCGTAGTGGCAATATAGAATTTTTGGGCGTCTTGTAAAACGAAATGGACTTTAGGAATTAAGTTCTGATTGGATCCGTTACTATGTGTATTAACAAAAAAGCGTTTTGGTTGGGAAACATCGCTGGCTGTCAAAACACACCCCATTTGAACACCTATTAGCTTACGATGGAGTCTACCAACAAGGCAGAAAAGTATTCTTGTGTAGGGAATTGTAATCGTTGCAGCATTACCTCTGGTAATTTCTTAACATGAAACTATTGATGTTTTGTTCAGATCATGCCTTTTCATGTAATCGTTCGGGACTTTGAAATTCCATTCTTTTCGAGAAAAAAAAATATACCAACACCATGAAACGACCCTCGGATCAAGTCTCACTCACTTCGACCACCAACAACCACGACCTGAATACCTGTACTAAAAAAGTGAAACGCACTCCTCCTACTGTTCATGAACAAGACCCCTCCGTGATTGTTTCTATCGATTCGGATCAACAATTACAAACTCATCATCATGATGGAATGGTGAGTCTTTTGAAATTAGATGATGACTCGTTGGCTCATGTTTTTTCATTTCTTCATCCGCTCCATGATCTTCTCGGAAGTATCATGAGAACTTGTCGACGATGTTATGAACTCACCGGAGGAATTGCTTTGGATGCTCTGGACAACAAGGTGTTGATTCCGAATGATCAACAATCTTCTCATCATGATGATGGAAAGAACAGCATACTCGTGCACAATGAAAAGGAACAGAAGAATGAAAAACAAGATGGCCGTAATTTCCATTCACTCTATGAAAAGGTTTCGTTAGGATTCAAACCCACAGGATGTCCCACACGATACTATGCCACTAAAAAGAATATTCAATTCTCGAGTGATTTCATGTTGAGATTATTTAAAATCATTCACAAGTGCAATCCAGTGAATGGATGCAAATATTTGGATTTGGGAAGGGAAGGTGATTGCAATGATCTGGTTAAGATGAATTTCTCGATGGAAATGTTTCAATTTGCATTACAAACTGGAATATTCACGGGACTGAAAAGATTAAGATTTGGTTGTTCCTTTCACACTTTTGTGAAAAACTTGAAACAGGACGAAATGCAAGTGCTGTTGGCTTGGTTTTCAACTTTGAAGAATTTGGAACATTTGGAAGTACCGTCGTTGGATTCGTGGGAAGACTACTCCAATGAAATGCCGCCTCAGTCCTTGACATACATGCTCTACAAGACTCTTCTCACCAATTGCACAAAACTCAAGTCGTTGAAATGTGGTCTCTGTTGTACACAGCCATTTGGAGACCACCTTGTTTTTGACAGCTTGGAAGAATTGGATCTGTTGTACTACTTTCCCGAAGAAAATTTTGATTATCTGTTCAAGACCATTCCAAACTTGAAAAAGCTCACTATGGGGTATCACATGTGCTATTCTAATGAGCTGTTTCAATCGATTGCCACCAATTGTAAGAAATTGTTGGATTTCAAATTTGGTGAACGATATTTGCATGAAAGTGGAAATGTGCCAATAATTTTCAACTCAATGACTCAACTTGAAAGTTTACATTTCGATGGAGGCATGCCCTACGAAGAAGACTTGAGAGAGATTGCTGCAAAATGTACAAATCTTGTCTATTTCTCAACAAGTGAGGAATATGAAGGCGATGATTATTCCATACAGGACTTTTTGAATGACATGAAACTAAGACTGAGAAATTTTGACTTGAACTACTTGTTCAATACAGATGAAGAAGGCGACGATCAAGAAGAGAATGAAGAAGATGGCGATCAAGAGAATGATGAAACGGGAGATGATAAAGTAAATAATGAATCAAAGAGAGCTGAAAAGACCTTGCATTCTATTAACAAGAAATATCCTTGCATTGAAGTTTTAAATGGCCACTCTGAATCACTCCCAGCAAATATGACTATTCAACAATTATTCCAACATTTACCAAATTTGAAAATTGTGAATATCAACATTATGGCTGAGGGATGCGACAAGACATTTGAGGACGTTGAGCAGGATGTGAAAACAAGATTGGAAGCAACCAATACTTTATTGAAATTGATTCATGGAGAGAATAGAGAGCTGTGTGACCATCTCATTGATGATCGTTTCACATTCACAACCATTCGCATCGATGAAGGTGCCACTGTTCGCTTGAAAATCAAAATTGTAGAAGTGAATTATGACGGATTTGTTTCTTTCAAAGTCATGAAACTTGAATAACACTCTTCACGTGGGCAATAGAATTTTTAACAGGTCATGATTTGAACTGTTTTGATAATTTATAATTTACAAAATTGTATACCAATATTGATCAATACAATGAGATTCCTAAGGACTTGCTCAACTCATCCAAATTCCAATACACAATTCTTCCGTCTAAGGCAGCTGTTGAGAACTTTTGAATGCAGAACTCTTTTTGAGAGGAACTCATGGATGATAACGAACAAATGGATGTGATTGATCGGTAGTGTCGAGTCGTTGGAAGTTGTAAATTTTGCAAATTATGTAATCCAACGACATTTTGTGCTTGGATACGACCAATAACCGTTTTGACAGATGGCACTGATTGTCCAGATGATGATTGAGGAGTTGTCACACCTTTTCCATCGTCACACGATCCTTTGAGAATCCATTGAGAAGTTCCTTCTTGCAAAGCAAAAGCATAAGGTACACAATCATGACCAACAGCAATGAATGAATGATCCGATAAAAAGAGACCTCTCGTGAATGGTAATTTGGAATGTCGAACAATTTGAGCTAATTGGTTTTTGAAATCAAAATTATTCAAATCCACAAACTGAACCGTAGAATCATGAGCCACTAATGCAATCCATCGTCCACTGGGTGAAAATTGAACATCATGGAGCCAACCTTTGGAGTGGAATTCTGCCAAACAATCTCCAAATTTTTGATCTTTGTTAGGGTTTTTACCATCCAATTCATTCATATGCACCTTAAATAATCGACTTTTGAAATCACATGATCCGGTCAAAAGCAGTGTTGGATCGTGTGGATGCCATGCGAGACAAGTGACAGTACTTTTATGTTTGGTAAATCGTTTCGAATAGTAAAATCTATTTTCCTTATCATAGCAGCAAATAGAAACAGTTTTCGAAGAGCTTCCCACAGCAAAACGAGATTCATCGGGAGACCATTTACAACATGTTGCAGATTTTGAAATGTATATTAACACAGGAATTGGTTTCCATTCTCCTTTGTCGTTGTTTTCAGATGAATGAAATTCCCAAACAAAGCAATTTTTATCTTGGGAGCAAGACAAGAGCTTGTTGGAATTTGGAGCCCAATCGAGTGCAGTAATGTAACTCGCATGTTCGGAAAGGACATGTTGCAGTGTCCAATGTTGAAAACTTTCAGAGTGACAAGTGTCATAAATATGAATTTCAGAATTTGCTGGAGATAAGGCTGCAAGTGAACGATCCTTATTGAAGCAAAGACAAGAAATGGCAGGAACTAGAGGTGGTTGTTGAGAAGAAGCGACCAAGGACATTGTTTTCAAAATTTTTGGTTTTTTTTTATTGAATCAAGCAAGAAGAAGAAGAATTTATTTGCACAAGTTCTCAGTTCCTTCATTCATTGATTTCACTGAATTCACTTGTGTTCATAGAGAGGAATTTGCAGTTGATCACTCACTTTCACTGTCTTTTCTTTCAACCTAAAATATTTGGGCTCAAACTCTTGATTCTCTTCCATTCGTTTTTCTCGTTGTACTTGTTCAATTTGGTGTTTCTCTTGATAGGCACCATCCAAATCTCCCATTTGAAGAGCATACGTAAGGGGATGCCATACTTTTCGAGATTCATTTTCAGCTTGTTCATGCAAAGGTTTCACACAAAGTTCGTTTGAAAATTCTGGGATGGCATTGGTAAATGAAGCTTGATAGAATAGCCATCGATGGTTGTTCGTCTTTTTTGAGGAATGTTTGAAATCATCATTCAATTCGGTAATTGTGTCATGGATGAATGGTAGTAGTTCACTTTGTTCACATAACACGTCGAAAGGTTGACATGGTGTCATGAAAATTTTACCTCCAACGTTTCCCTTAAAAGTAAATAATTTCTGATTCTTATATTGTACAAGTTCTCCCTTAATATCATTTTGTCCACTAAAGGAAATGTTCGCCTCTAATCCACTCTGTGGACATGAAATTTTCAACACATCACCATTCGAAACATGGGACGAACCAAAAAACAGTCCATTGACAACCATATTTGGTAATACAAATGAATACTCTTCTTCCAAATCCTTTTGCACTCCACATTTGACATTCAACACATGACTTCCAGCAATACATGTTGCAACGGAATTTCCTCGAAATTTCACTACAATTTGAAACGTGGATTCCATTTTAAAGTTTGCTTCCGAGTTGTCCATATAAAACGCACTCACTGGTGGATGATGAGAAATTTGTTCGGCCAAAACTGAAGTATTCGATTGGACGAGACAATGACGGAGAGTAGAGAAATTATGTGAATTTGATTGAGAGGACAACCATTTAGAAAACCAAGGGAGAGTTTGAGAGGGTTTTGAACAGCTGTCAGTTGCCAAATCATGTTCGAATGGATTCAAAGGTTTCCATTTTGCTTTAAAAATTTCTCCTAAAATTGGGTTATACGGCTTAATTCCTTCAAAACTATCTCCCCTCGTATTCGAACAGGATCCTAACGCAAACATTAAACACATCAACATTCGATCCAATTTCTTGTCCAAAAAACTCAATACTTTCAAACCAGCGGTCGGTTCACAATAATAAGTAAATAATTCTAGAGTTGAAATGGGTCTTAATAAGAACACTGGCGAACACATTTTGAGCAAATCAGTCTGAGGAGAAAGCTGTTTCAGAAACTGCCATAAAAGGGAATGATTGGATTTGGAGTCGGAATTTAATGATGGTTTTTTGTGAATCATACCACGATGGACATAGGGAGCTTGTTCATAAATAAATTGTTCCGAAGTGTTGTTTTCAGAATATTGTTCTTGGAAAGAGTTATGGTCGACAGTTCTTTCACAATTTTTATGCTCATTGACAGATGTTTCCAAAGGCATTAGAAACAGTTGGTCAAAGAAAATTGGAGAGTCGGAGAGAAGGATTCGATGAACTTTTTTTTTGATTTGGCACTGAAACATAAAATCTCAAGTTCAATTTGTGTACTTGAAGTAAATATGATTTCCAGTAACCCGCCTTAAATGTCCTCAAAAAAGATTTTCATCATCCTCCTTGATTGGAACAATGTACACAAAGGCTAATACATTCATCTTTAATACCTCCTTTTTGTTTCTTCTTACCATGCCGATCTAAGGATTTGATGATGAGAATGTTTCTTCCAAGTTGGAACCTTGTCGAGCATGTTAAGTTGTTTTTAGAAAAAAAATTGTTGATACAGAATAGGAAGCATACGGAGATTATTTTCAACGTTAACAACTGCTGCACCTGTAACAGTTAGATTCATCATCTCTCGCTGCTCACTCGAGTATCATCCAAGTGGACATCTTTGAGAGAGATTTTGGGCACTCACTCTCCGTGATGTTTTAGAAAAGATCTCACCCACAGAGTCAATTCCTTTCATCATCGTTGTGTTTATTTTGTGTGTGGATATCATCATGAATATTCCGTTCAGAAAGGATCAACACCATCATCATCATGGAAGTTTTGATCATCATATCACGGCGGAGAGGAATACGTTAGGATCATCTTCCTACATGTCGGATGGTGCTGGTTTACTTTCATCAAGTTTTTCCAACGCTTCCGATTTGAGTAGCAGCAGTATTGGGAGTTATAATAGCGTGAACAGCACCAATTCATCTCTACTGAGCACGAGTACGGCTGCAACAGGATGGATGGGAATGAGTCCTCCGAATTATGTGATGGGTTTCAATGGAGGAAATCATTCATCATCATCTCCTCAACCTAACGGTTATCATCACACCAAGAGTAAAAGTATGAACAGTGCGAATAACAACATGACCACATGGTTATCCTCTTCGGGCGGTAATCATCATCATTCCCAACAACATCCTAACAATACCATGCCGCAACAAGATCATCATCAACATTTCGGTACTTCTCTTCTTTCCAACAGTCATCATCACCAACTCGGCACCCACCAACGCAGAATCACCACAGGTTCCTCGTCTTTTGACTTTTCATCCTCTATGGATGACATATCTCTTATGGGACACAACTCGTCTGTGAGAGGCAGATCTGCTGCCACCAGTACTTTCAACTCGGTGTTTGGACCTACTCAAACGAATTCAGTGCCAACAGAGCTTGAAATTCCCTCTCGCACTAGTGTTTGTTCAAATAACGTCATGACAAATATGGCTGAAGAACACGTGGATCCCACCATGCTATTACTTGATTCTCCCAAGGTGGGTCACAATCACAGTCGTTCTCAACATCTCAGTCATGACGATGGAATCAATGTGAACATGTTTGTTCGATCAGTTGTTGGCAAGGTACTGTCGGATGACATGGAAGAATTCAACTCCTTCCATCATGTGAGTGGTCAACAGAATCATCATCATCATCACCACAACTACCAACAACAGCCAGCACTAAACAATAATCTCAACATGTCACCACAACCATCATCACCATTGTCACGTCGGTTCATGTCCATGTCCTGTCCAACTGTTCTAAATTCGTTCCAAAATAGTATTGGATTCCAACTCTTTCAACAACAGCAACAACATCCTTTACAGCATGACAGTCATAATGGAACCAACAATTCATCAGTATCCTCAATCGATTTTGACTTAATTGAGTCTGTTATTGCTGGTGATGAATCCACAAGTGACCACACATTGCAAGGCAAAAAACCTTGTAAATACTTCTTCTCGGCAGAAGGTTGTACTTACGGAGATAGCTGCACTTTCCTACATTCACTCACTCCAAACACACGAAACAATCCACCAAATTTTGTATTAGGAGTTTCAACAACCACAACAGCACCACCTTTGAATGGTAACTTGCATGGTTTTTCTTCTCATGCACCTGAACATGAAGATTTCCATCAAAATGGTTTTGTCATGAATAAGAATGAACAACTTAATGCATACCAATACCATACGATGCAACAATATCCATCTAATAGCTCAATGGTGTCCACTACCCATGCAGTACATGGTGATGTTGCATCATCTGTAAATAATGTCGCTAATCATTCAAACTCCTCTCTGGTATCTCATCAACAGCAAACATCCAATTCTCCTCCACAACAGCAACAGCAAATATGTCAATTATGGCGGCGCATCCGACGTTGAAGCGCACTAAAAACCTGTCAGATATTCGTCAAGTCAAAAATGAACATGAAAGCACAAAATAAATTTATTCGTTAGCTGTCATGCAGCAGAAGAGGTAATAGTACTGGTTTAGGGTTGCAAGGTATCTGTCTTCCACAAGCTGTTCGTTGGAAGAGGTACGATAAATTCTCGTGGGATTTCCGTTCCCTCCAAACCTCATAGTATGAGCGAACATATCTTTGCCATACTTGTTCAGTCGTTCATGCACTGTCATGGCAAATGGGTACAATGTTCTGTAAATAAATAAATACATGATCACATGTTCTTGGAGAATGTGTAAATAATAAGGCATTTTCCAATACGTGCCTATTGTGTCTCCAATAACAGGGACAATGACAGAAATATAATGGTCAATTTTCTTTGCAACGTTGTGTAAATCATTGTCTGAGCAAAATGTTGGTTGTACCAATAATTTAACGAGTTCAGATCCTGCTTGAAATATTCTTGTCACCTTTCCAATCCAAACGTATGCAAGAGTAGAGAGTTGTTGATTACTTGCGTGCTTTTCCATGATTTGAGTGATATCTTCAATAATTTTGTTGCCATATGTTTCCCATACATCGTCTCCCATTAAATTAATTTTGTCATTTTGGCCATAATATCCTTTGTCCTTGTAGTATTGTTTCAACTCTTTTTGACATTGCTTTGAAATTTTCAATGCAGCATGCAATGCAATCTGTAAATGATTTTCTCCCAATCTCATGAATTGGTGCAAAATGTCAGGAATTCTTCGTAAAATGGAAATATTGGCGAAAATAATATCACCTAAACCAGGGTGTCGGTGTCCCTTGTCAGTAAAAAGTTCAGTGAAACAATCCCAGGTTTCAATTTGGATTTTGCCTTCAATTGTCTCTCGTAATGATTTTCGTGTGTTTTCTTTGGACTGAAACAACATTTTCAGTATTTCTTGAGCTCGATTATTGTTTTTCCACTTGAGCGAAAACAAGAATTGTTTGTGTGTTTCATAATCAATAGGGCATACAAAACATATTCTATTCTTATCATCCGTTTGCAATGCAAGCATGTTTTTTAAATCTCCACCCATTGCTACATTAAATTGCAACCGAATAATAATTTTCTCTGAGGTACAGGTTTTCACAAAATTTTTCAAAAACGAATCTTTCTGAAATAGAGCAATTGGTAATTCAAATATAAACCGATGGCTTTCAAATTTTGCAATCAATGATTCAATTGGCTTGAATGAGCTCAATAATGTACAATGATTGTCGCTGTTTTTAGGTAACGCTGCCAATAATTTGTAATTACTATGATGTTGTGCAGCATCGCAAATAACAAGCCCTAAAAAGCAAAGTATTTCATTCACTTTCCTACTTAATTTATGGGCATCAGTGGACACTCTTGCCATTGAATAAACTTTAAATTCTCCTTTTTTGTTAAATCCAAATTTTCGGCTTCTGAATCCAGAAATCGGAGCATGTTCCAACCATTTTCCTGTCGAGCGTATCACTTCTATTACTTTTGTATTTGTTAATAATTTTGAAAAAGACTGAATTGGATCAATCGCAAAGCCTTTGATATCGTTGTTGCTTTTGATGATGATCATCTCTTTTGCTATTTCATCCTTAATCCCTTTCCGATATTTCGAAATGGTTCGGTCACTGAATGGAATGTATTTTGTTTCATACAACTTTTTAATTTGTTTTTTGCTTAAACCAGTGTTGATGATATTACGTTCAACTTCTTCAATGGACAATCGATTATGTTTCTTTTCGACCATGTTGTTGTTTTCGTCAAGTGTTATGATTCGGAATTTAGTGTACCGCATTGTTGGGTGTATTGGATCAGAAAGCGTTAACGAGATATTTAATTCTGCATTAGTTTGATTGATGTAATTGAATTCCTGTAATTGCTTTGTAATTGATGAAATGATGGAGGACCATAATTGAGAACAAGCTGTTGTTTTACTAGCTTCAGCTAAAGCGAATAATGGTGTACGTTTTTTCTGAGCTAAATCCAGTCCTAGGACCTCTATCTTTCGTTTCAGTTTGTCTGTTGTTGCTTCAGTCAGCACTACTTGTTGCTTCGGTTTCCCTCTGCCCTTGTTGAACCAATCAGGAAGAGACTCACTCATTTTATTTTTGATTCCTTGTGATCAGCTGACGTGGGATTGACGAATATCTGACAGGTTTCTAGTACCAATTGCGCCGCCATAAAAGGTGAATGTCGTTTTGGAGACAAGTGTCGCAATCTTCACCTTAAAAACAAATCAAAACTTGATGAACACACCAAAAAGAAGCTCAAAACAATTCGTTGTAGATTTGGAGTGAATTGTCCTTTCGGTCACGAGTGCTATTATTTCCATGAGCAGTCTGATTTTGATGATGACAGCAACAACACTTCCAAACCACCCTCTTCCTCAACTCAAAAACAACAATAAGGACTTGTGTAAATTTTGTGACAAAATGTAAATAACACCAAAACTAAATGTAAATAAATTCGTCTTCATCATGGCATGATTCATTGGTAGGACTTCAACAATGAATTGGATGTGTTGCGAACAAGGTAGTCAAATTTGATCGTCAAAACGCAGCGCAACGATTCCTTGAAGAAAAAAGTCCCAACATGTCGTTCACATCCTTGAATTGTGTTCACCAAGATCGGAGCCAAGGCATCAAGACTGTCACCCTGTCAACGCAAAAAAATGAGTCAATCACCCAACAATAATGAGAAATCATCATCCAAGGGTAGCAAGATCCAACTTCGTCTCAAGAGCTTCTTTTCCAAAGTATCATCTTCGTCATCGAGCGGCGGAGGATCTTCATCCACACCATCGTCATCGGGAACCACTTCACCCAATCGCTCACCAAGCTTGACGAACATTCATCATGATACCTCACCAAAAACAACACCAACAACAACAACTCAAACCCTACTCAATTCTAACATTTCCTCTGTGAATAGCTCTCCAAATATTACCATTACCAATGTTGCAACTACACCAAACCATTCGACGACCAATCATCTCGATATTCCCTTCCGTAAAAATAGTTTGAGTAACAATGATGATGGTGATCTGAGCTCAGCATCTTCCTCTACGGTCAATACCTTTACCAATAATTCCTCCCTGACTCTGATTCCAAATCAGCAGCAAATTCCTCTTCATCCGTCCTTGTCATCATCCCCACCTAACTCGCCCTCTCCCATTTCCAAGAGTCCAATTCCCAAAACACCAACGCAAACACATAAAAATAATGCATCCTCTCCTCCTCGTGTCATTGATCCATGCGTTTCGGAAGAGGCTCATGAAGAGGATGATCATCCTCTCACGCCAATGAAAAATACTAGTGGTGGTGGTATTTTTGGAAAAAAGGTAGATTATGTATTGGGATCATCTCCACAGAAAAGTACAGCTCATGAATTATCAGCCGCCTTATCAATGAGTCGGACAGAAGTACCAACGTTGGACGATGAAAGTCGGCAAAAAGGTGTATTGAATGAAGAGGAAGAGGATGAGTTTTCATTGGAACCACCTCCTCATCCAAGAGGTTCCAATGCAGCTCGAAAAACTTTTGATTTTGCATCATCGGTTGGATCTTCCCAGCCTTCTTCGAATTTTGACAAGTATGGAAGTTTAGGAATGGTTGGCTTGGGAAGTAGTTTAGGAAGTTTACAAAGTAACATTTTACATCATGGTTCAGAAGATCATTACTTACATCAACATCATCATCAACATGATCCATCCTTTAGTACAACAGCCTCCTTTGACTCCACAAGGTCAACACCTCAAGTACATAGTTTTCGATTAGCTCATCGTTTGACATTGGACCCTAATGCAATGAGTCACTTCAAAGATTCTCATCATTTAGACGCCTCATTTTCAGATGATGCAAGTACACAAGAGGAAACTTCGTCGTCACCAACTCCTCTCAATATTGAAGAAATTTTTCAGGTTCAATCATTGGAAAATAACTCGACAATTTCCATGACTGGCTATGCTGAAACTTTTCTTTCTTCATTTGGAGAATTTATATCGTCGAACGAGACAAAATCGTCCACAACATTTTCAGTTCAGGGATTGCCCAACATATTCATTCCAGTCAATTATTTAGAAACGAATGGAAATGATCAATCTCTTTACGGTTTTTCTCAACAAAAAGCTGCAAAATCCCCTTTATTATCTCATCTCTATGAAAGCGAAGTTGCAGAATTGCCACTTCATGCAAGAAAAATGATTCGTGACAAATTCGAATCAAACTTCCAAGTACTATTATCCAATTCTAAAAAACAATTTCACCTCTCTAAGAGTACAATGAAAAAGTTATTCATTCTCTCATCCAAGAAACACATTGTAGAGGAAAATAAGTGGAGAATGTTCGAAGAAACCTTATTATCAAGAGATATTCGCTATCATAATGATCCAAAAAGCATCATACCTTCGAGCACGCACTTGACAGACTATATTTTCCCAAAAGAAAAAGAGAGACCACGGAGCAGATCCAATTCTGGTATTGCAACCTTGAAGCCTTACCAAATAGATGTTGATAAGCAACGAGCTTTATCGCCTCCTCCTTCATTGTCTCCTCTGTCTCTCACACCCATACCAAGCCCTTCACTGACCAATGAACCAATGTTTAGAAGAAAGGGTTCTGACACTTTTACAAATTCTCCTACTGACGATACACATTCAAGTAAGGGATCTGCTTATGATTCTAGCGATTCTGACGATGAAGAACGTGAATATATTACAAACTTCAATCCTGCACTGGCCCATGAAATTCCTCACGGATTTCTCTCAACAAAAATTGAAAATTTAAAGGAATTTCTGCGCGAATCTAGCGACGAAATTGGTGGTTCTCGAAAAAACGTGAACAGCAACGAGTACAAAACTTGGAAGAAGGAACATTGCGTTCTAGAATTTTTAACTGACGAATTGCTGAATACGCAAGAACTTAAAACAAAAATGTTTCCCTTCTTGTTCAATTCTAATGAATGTCTGAAAGATGGCTCAACTGATTTACTCTTACAAAGTTTTGAAGTCATGAAGCCAGATATTGACAATAGAGCGAAATTGATTATTGAGATTGAAAAATTTAAACTTGATTTTATTGAGGAATATTTAAATGGAGTTGCCCTGGAGCAATTCTATGGCGCTATAACATTGTATGAAACAAAGCCTCCTGATGGGTCGCATACATCTTTCGTATCAGGAATCAAGAGATATAGTGAGACATTCACATTTTCTTTGGCATCAGGTGTGAATAGCAAAAAAGCATTGTTTTATTTGAGTCCTCAAAATCTTCCAAATTATGCTGGCCAAAAACCAAAAGAGAAGGTCTATGTGCTGCTGCGACTTTTCAGAAACTTTAAAGGCAATTACACAGAGTATTTTGATGATCTTTATGTGAAGGGGAAACAGGCTATGAAACCAGGAGACAAGATCAACAATGTCAACGAATTGAAAGAGATGAAGGCAATTCGAGCTGTAAAATCAAGCTTTTTCGAATCATTGAAAGATGTCTATGCTCCATTCGCTTGGTCTATAATGGAACTTGACTCTATGCTTTCATCATTACCAGCACTGCAATTCCCAAGTCTGTACGTGAATTACGAAGGTCTATCAAATCAATTTCTTGTGAAGAACATTTATAATGTACCTGCTAAATTAGTGGGTGAAGTGAGCGATGAAAAGCTATTTGAGGTTTATTTTGCCAACAATTTGAATCAATCCTCAAATCTAGTAGAGCTTTCCACAACTGAAACTGGCTTTTCACAAAACTTATCCTTGCTTTCATCAAGCACAAACCAACCAGAGAAGACAGTTCTCAATAGCTCCAAAGACATTGTTAGGCAATTGTCGAAAGTAATACTTCGTACTGTACCAAGTCAATTCTCATTCAAAGTATCGTTAATACCGCCAAACAAAGTCAACCCTTTTACAAAATCTCTCTATGGAAAAGAAAAGCAATATCAATATGTGCAAAGAAAATACCTTCCAGAGAACAACTTGTTGGTGCTTCAAAAAGAGCCAACAACTGCCGAGCATGTCACTGATAAGAAATCGAAACGACAACAAAAAGATATTGATATCAAAGACCCTTTACAGACAGATCTTCCTGTGACAGAAATGGAACAATTTTATTCCTCCAATACCATGCCAGAAACCACTTTCAGACATTTCAATTTACGTAATGATCTTTTCATATATCCTCAAAGTGGTTCATTTTCTAAATTTTCTGCCAAACATGATAACGTGCATCTTACAGTCTCGCTCTATGATAATGATACCAACTTCTCACTAAACACGATGGAGCAAAGAAGCAGAAACATATTTTCCAAAGCATTTTCTGGGGATAATCCAAGTACTCGTACAAATGAGGGAGAATGTGTCTCGGTTTCTTTAAAGGCAGAGAAGCCTGAGTTTAGTGGTGAGATTAAATGTGCTGTACCCTGCTATTATCCTTCTGACGGTGAAGATAGTCGACAACATTTAGTGTTCAAATTTTACAATGTGCAACACAAGGAATCTGTTCAACAGGGAAAGAAAGGCGATACAGACACAAATACGGTACAGTCAAAAACACTCTTTGGAGTTGCCTTTTTGAAAATCTACAAAAAAGTAACAACTACAATCGACAAGAGGAAGGTTATTCTAAAAGATTTAATCAATGGAGATTTTGAATTGCAGGTGTTCAATGTTTTGCACATTCCAAACTCCAATTACTTAAGACTCTGTGATGAAGTAATAGATCCTTCTCTGTCACATATCAAGTCCTCAGGAACTTTAAAAGTACGAATTATGCCGTACAGTTTTATTTTCCCAAATATTGCTCTCTCATTTCCATATACCACCTCTAATGTGATTAATTTATTCTTGTTAAAATTTTTCAGATTGATTAATAATCAAAGTAATTGCAATGGCGCAATTCCACCACTAGAAGAAATATCTGATGCATACAAAACACTGGTTCAAACATATGAGTATGAGAAGCAAGTCGTGTTAAATACCATATGGTTTGAAATGCACAATTTATATCTGCCCATGATTATTAACACATGTTTGGAGTGGATTATTGACTCGTTCGATCAGAACAAGCATTACTCTGCAGAGCTATGGAAGATTATTTTATTCTTTATTGAGAAGTATAATCAACACTCGGCCTACACAGCAACAGTGCTTAATATTTTCCAGAAATACCATTTCAGACTCTATGCAGAAAAGGAGAAAAATGTTGTCACCAAATTGTTACTTTCATTTGTTGAGTCTATCAGAATTGAGAACACCAGACTCGGTACAAAAGGCAACATTTTTGAAGAGTTATTTATAAGGAACAACCAAATCTTGTTTGGGCTTTTTTTGAAAGCCATCATTTGTTCCATGATCGAAACGCCTGTACCAAATTCAGCATTGGAAAGTAATTTTGACAATTCTCACCTATTATCCAAAACAATGATGTCTGCTATTGAACAGTTCACCGTGATGGTTCTTGAAGTTACCGAAAAGTTGGCATACGCAAAGACTGAAAAGCATGGTACTCTTAGAATATTTTTAAAGAACTTTTCAACTTTCTATGCTCACTTGGTTTCAATATTTGGCTCAGATATTGGTAGCTCCAAAGTGAAATCAACACCTTTGGCTGGAGAGCACAGCATGTACAAGCTATTTGCAAAGCAAGATATTTTACAATTCTTTTTACGTTTTGTTGAATCAATCGGTTATTTCCCATCACTTTTCAAGGTCAAGAACAATGAAACCGTGACACCTTCTGCAGATAACAAACGATCAAGAGAAATGTCTAATTTGGCTGCAGAGGTTCAACTCATAATGCTGAGCGAATTATTACTTCATTTTCCAGCATATGAACTTTCATTACCACCTTCTATTCCATTTATTGAATCAATCATTTTACGTGACAACTTCCAAAGTATTCAAAATTTCAGGGATATTCACCACTTTGTTTTTTCATCATTTGCCGAGTACTTTATCCGATGTGTTTATTTGAACGAAGATAAGGAACAGCGAACTAAAGCGATTTTATTGTTCAAGGAGTATGTTGAGAAAGTTAGTAGAGAGTGCACCACAATGCAGCATTCAGAGGAACCCAGTCATCCAATTACAGATCCTCAAAAACTTTCCGAGTTACGTCTTCGAATTTTCACTTCTCAATTTTTATTAGAGCTATTTGCGAAACACATGATTGATCTATTACCAGAATGGAAGAAAAATGCTGATTCCAACCAGAAGAAGATAACACTCGCTATTGAGGAGTTAAAAAGAAAGATTGCTCAAGTGGAAAGAGACAAACTCAGTATTGCAGAGTCTGCTAAACAAGGCTATAAATCCAAGAAAGAACCAGAGAAAAAGCTTCCTCATCTCGAGGTTCAATTAACGACTCTCAAACAGCTATTAGCAGCAAAAGAAAAACAATTACTTGAAGAGTTTGAAGCAACTAAAACTGAAAAACGCATGCTTCTCTCCATATTCATCCAAACGATCACAAATTGCGATGAGAAAATACTGAGAGCTCTATGGAAAATGAATCATGAAGAGACTGACTACAACACAGATAATACCATTCATTTTAGCTCTAAATTATTAATGGCATTTCAAATGTGTTTGCAAAGCTTTGAGTACAGTGGATACACACCCTTGTATCATTTTTATGAGAGAGTTTTTGTCAAGCAAACGACAACAAGCGGCCAATCTTCTTCCAATACTGGAAACGTTGCCAAGCAAACAAATCCAACCTCAGCAGCCCATAGTAGTTCAGGAAGCATTTGGAAAGCCAGTTTAACACGGTCGCAGTCCAAAAATTCGACCAAAACCAGCCTGGACGGTCAAGGAAGCGAAATTCAAGTTGATGACTCTCTTCCCAAGTCCAATTCCGCTAATTCGTTAGTGACACATGTTTCCAAGACAGATTTCATTGAACGAAAAATTAATATGGAACGACACATCTCACACGAAACAGGAACAATAATTTTCCAAATGTTTTTAAAGTTTATGGAAGACAATTGTAGTTATATCGAGAATGCACTGCCAAAGGGGAATATTGATCCAAAACGTTTACCTCCTCTCATTGAGAACATTGTAAGAACAGTGCTCAATTTGTTACGATCCAACCTCAGCGAGACTCTCACTGTTTCAGTACTCATGTACATGAGACATGCACTTTGTCAATATCCATTTACTGCTGTTTTCTATCATCCACAATCCGAGTACGGTCTTCTTGTTGCAGAGGAACTGCTTAGATTGAGTCACTCCAAATTGGGATCAATTCGAAAGCATGCAGCTGCTTGTTTTTATTTGTGGATACGTTTTTGTTTTGAGGAAAACAAGGGCATGACAGTTCCTCAAATTATGACAACTCTCGCTCTTTCCAGAAGACTCCAAACATATACCAATATTAACAGCTTACAAAACATTTTGAACAATGATACACTCGATTCATTCGACGATTCACAAGTTTCAGATGCACTTCGTTTCATTGAAGAATGTATCAAAATGTTGCCTTACTTTGCATTGAAAGATGAGGCCGCACCTGGATCCAAATTCTTCAAAATACGAAACAAGTATGGAAAACTGAAAGGTCAAGACGATTTGGAAAATCCAAATCTTCCACTCGATAAAATTGGAACGGATAAAAAACAAGAGCATCAACAGGCATCCACCTCCATCATGGATGCGTCGAAACCAAAAGGAGAGAGGTTTCACAATGCAATGGTATTCTTCAAAAAGATTGAAACCAAAGCAGATCAGAAGAAACATGGACAAAAAGTTCTCGAAGTGTATGAACACTTTCATGAATTACTTGCTGAACTATCTAGAAAGTTATTAAATCTAGTTCAGGACACTGTGGCTATTCGAGCCACAATGATCAAAAGAAAACAAAGTTCTGTTGAGGAAAGTTTTACCTATGATCCATTCAAAACTGAAGAATTACTTTACAGAATCTCTGAGAATTACTCCAAGCTTCCTGAACTTAGATTAGCTTGGCTTGAACAATTGGCTTCCTATCACAAAGGACTAAACCAATATGAAGAGTCTGCACATTGCTATTTGAGAATTTTATCACTTGTCTTTGATTATTTAGATCATGCCAATCAAAGGTTCAATGCAAAGAATGATGTTTCGTTGTTGGATATTTTACCTCTTTCACAATTTTATGGTATTTCTCCAATGTTGAATGAATTTAAATCGAACCAAACAGGTTTTCAGACTCAAACATTACTTGGAGGAGCCAATACTCAGTTAGATTACATGTCTGATCACTCCATTGTCAAATATATTCTGAGAGCTATTGATTGTTTGGAGTTGTCCGAGTGCTACGAACATTGCATTTTGTTGTACAAGATGCTAATCCCAATATTCGAGTCCAAATATGCAAACTATGCTCAACTTCATGCAATTTATGAGCGACTTACTCAACTCTACAAGAAATGTGCCTCCTTCCAAGCCTCTACCAATGCTGGAAACACAACCTCATCGGTTCCAAGCTCTCCAAGAAACAACAGTACCTCTGAATCGAATGATGCTTCGAGCTTACTTGCAAGACTGTCCTCATTCTCCTCTTTGAATTCTTTGACAATGAAAGTGGACTCATCAGAGACAGACACGAGAGTTTATAGCTTTTATTACCGTGTGAAATTTATTGGAAGAGCATTTGGAGAGCTTAATGGACAAGTATTCATTTACAAAATGCCAAAATTATTCAAGCTTTATAAAATGAAGAACAAGATGATTGAGATTTATGGCAAGGATATTGAGGTGGTTTCAAAGGAAGAAGAAGGAGTTACCAATGGTATGTGATTAGTTTTTAAATTGTTTACAAAATTTCGACAATTATAACCTACTACCTAATTTAAACATTTTATTCAACAGAATCTGAAGATGATTTATCCTCCATATCCGTAGAAAATAAGAAAATCATTCAAATTAACCATGTGAAACCCTTCTTACCAACAGTCGACCAAATGAAAGTTCTCAAGAGAAAATTCGATGATCTGAACCGAATCAATAGTTCATCATTCGGAGTGAACAGTGCGCCAAGCTGGAGAGGAGGACTGGAACGAAAAGCAATTGGCAAGAAACCCATGCATACCTCAAGCGCTTCCAAACTTCCAACCATGATTAGTGACAGCTTGAGTCCAAGATCTCGGTCGAGCTCCAATCCAAAGCTAGAGCTAACTCTACTAAATTTCAGCGATCCATCCAGAAGACCCACCATTTCTCCAATGACGCCAACTTCACCCACTACTAATGGTTCTCCATCGGATCGAGCATTGTCTCCTTCAAAGGTCACCATTCCTAAACTAAATTTATCCAAGTCCTCATCGTCATCTGAAGCTCCTACCTCTTCAACCAGTGGTGGTATGAACAGCAGTGTATCGAATAGCAATGCATTCCAAGAGTTGGAGAGATTTCTCTATGATAGAACTCTGTCCTTGACATTTTTCATTCCTCGAGAGACAGAATTTGAACGTAACATGAATATCAATCAATTTTTCTATGAATATTCTGTAAGCAAATCGAAAAATGCCGACATTACACAAACAGAAAAGAAGAAGATTGTCATCACAACTGAAGAATATTTCCCCAATGTCACTACCAGAGTTCCAGTTGTAGAAGAAAAAGTTTTCACACTCTCCCCAATTGAAAATTCTATTGAAATGATTGATACTCAGGTGAAGAAATTAGAAGGAGCTATGAATTTAATTCTTTCAGGAGCTGTTGGAGATGTCTCACACTATTCTGTGTTGGCAAATTTATTTAATCATTCAGTGGTGAATACATCATCCTCCTCGACTTCAGGTGGAGGCCTAAATAATAATAATTCTTCGATGACCAATCTTACAAGCTCCATACCCACACAGCACAAACGTCGATCCACCGTTGGTACCAACATGGTGATCAACTTGAATATTACGAGCTCGTTGGGAAATATTCCCTACTTGAACGAAATGAACATTACACCCCATACCTTATCCAATCTTCAAATGATTTTACAAGGGAGTGTTCAAGCACGTGTTGGAGAAGGACCTAAAAAAGTTGTTGAGGCCTTCCTTAATAAGGAATATCGAGAATTTTGGAAAAAGCATCACAACACCACAAGTAATGATCTTGTTGAACGATTGAACGAGAGATGTTTCCGATTTTTGCTGTTATGTGAACGAGGTGTCAAACTTCATTCTCTCATGATTCATTCACAAGCTCCAACAGCTGCTAGCACCAACAAGGATCGAGTGTTACATGCCGAGTTGGAAAAGGGTTATCATGAAGTGAAATCGTTATTTGAGAATTATCTCGTTGTGCCACGAGTGAGAACATTGATTTCGTCAAATTCTTCCTCTGGTGCTATTTCACCTCCAGAGCGTGTGACTAATTTGAAAAATAAGGACAACTCGAATGCCGTTGTGGAAACCTATTTTGATGTGAGTTTGCAAGATGCACTGAATTATCCTGAACTGTTCTACAAGCATAATCACGTGCCATATTCTCTGATTCAAACGGTGATGGGTAAAATTGGAAGTACTAATAGTGGACTTGGAACGAACAATGATAATAGCAATATGGGACAGCAACATGGTCAACATTCAATTGCTGAATCACCAAGGAACAACACATCGTCACAGCACTCATCATTGTTATTAAGTGAAAAGGATTTGAGCAGTGGAATGTCAAAACTTTCGGTGCATCATAATCCGAGATTATCCATTCCTTCCACAAAAATGAAAGAATATCTAGAGCAATTGGGAAGTATTGATTTTGATCAGAGTAAGATGGTGAACGAAGTGCTTTCTCGTTCTTCCGTTGACCATTCGAATTATTTATTGTAGAAAGAAAATCAATGTCCACTGCAACGAATAATAAATTGACACTTAGATAAGGCCATTTCTGAAATAAATTAAGGTTGTTTATTGTTCAAGAATTCGGAGTGTGTTGTTGGAACAATTCCATAACAACAGGTTCAAAGGTTTCTTTAAGGAAAATCATTGTCAGATTCTTCCATGTAATCGTTGTCTGATGTGAGAACGCTATCCTCACCATTGTTACTACTACTAGGATGTAATTGATTAGTGGCTCCTTTCTTGCCACCTCCAAGATAGTCCATATCATCAATTTCTTCATCTTCTTCATCGTCACTTTCAAAATCATCTTCTTCGAGTTGATTGGCATGATGCGATTGATGATGGTGTTGTTGTTGATTATAGTGTTGTTGCTGTTGCTGTTGATAATAAGCAGTATTGTTTGGCTGTTGTTGTTGTTGAACAGCTGTTGACACGGGAGGTTTCATTGCTGTTTGAAGTTCATAGAAGGTCATGACCTCTTCACGGTCACTAGAATGATCATAATTTCTCACAATTTCATCATAGAGCATGTGTCGAATCACAGGAATACTTGTAGCTTCATTTTCAAAACTGTAGTCAAATGTTGATGCTGCAAAATCACATTCATTAAATGTGTGAATATCTTCAAAATATGGATGTTCTAATGCTTCATAGGCAGAGATTCGTTGTTTTGGAGAAAAACAAAGTAATTTTTCAAGTAAATCAATGGCTTCACTTGTGGCATTGGGATATAGCGAGGAAAACTCTGTTTTGGATTTTACCTTAATTTGCTGGAGAATATTATAACTGGCATCCGATAACTCGATACCATCAAAATCTTTCTTGTCTTTAGGTGTTCCAATAACGTCAAATATTTTAACAATTTGATCATAGGATGATGTTCCTCGAAATAGAGGTTCTCTTCCCAATAGCTCAGCAAATATACATCCAACACTCCACAAGTCCACTTCCTTTCCATAGGTTAATGATTGAAGAAGAAGCTCTGGAGCTCTGTACCATCTAGTCACAACATATTCTGTGAGTTTTGGTTTGGCTCTTTGTTGTCCTTTGAAAACTCCTTTTAACATTGAATCGGATTGTGAGGATCCATTGAGAGGATTAGTTCCGTCATTGTATCCACGAGCTAGTCCAAGATCACATATTTTTATATTACAATCGCTGTTGATCAATATATTGCTTGGTTTCTTTGAAAATTACAAGTCAAAATCATTATGTTAAAATAATGTTGTTGTGAAGTGATGTTGAGTGTTGGTGAATTATTATTGTCATCAAATGTATGTATCATATTTCATAATATTACCCAATAGTTTTCATATTGTTGAAGAAACCATTCCGATGATTGTCAAATACCATATTCAATAAATTTTAAATCCAAGAGAGAGTGGTATCATGATGACAATTTTTACATGAAACCATCCATCTCCAAAAACTTTCACATTCGGAATCATCTACTTACTAAATCTCTATGAATAACATTTCCACTGTGAATATAATTTACAGCTTTCAGTATTTGATACATGAAGAATTGTATGTGATCGTTGGTTAATTCTTGTGGAGATTGAATAATTGTTTTCAAATCGGTATCCATCAAATCTGTATACATGTAAAGTTCAGTGTAGGAATCCTTGTCGGGATATGGTAATTGAACATGTTTCAGATCAATGACATTCGGATGTTTGAGAAAACCAAGAATTTTCACTTCCCGCAACAAACGAACAGCAAATATGTGATGATCAAAACATCGAATGACCTTCTTGATGGCCACTTTGGTATTGGTTTGTGTATCCAAAGCGCTACAAACAATGCCATAGGACCCTGTTCAGATGTGATGTGTGTGAATAATGTTGTTGTGGGATAGTACGAGATGATAATGAACAGAAAACCCAATGGCATACCATGAAGAAATCAAAATGGTAGTATTGGAAACATTTGATGGAGATGATGAATTGGGTGTGAGTCGATTATGTACCGATGATGTGTGTTGTTGTTGACACCAACGAGCGTGTGAAATTACATGAAACCAATTTTGTATTTGTTCGAGTGCCATACGGATGTAATTATTTGTTAGCCGTGATGTTGTTGTTATTTCATATTGAAATTTGGAGGGGACCGAAAATTTAATCATCATCATCACGGATCGGAAAATCCGTAAATAATCAACAAGTCCCGATCGCCATGAAATTTAATGATCAATACAATTCAATCACATTACAATTCACTCACCTTTTCCAATGACATTCAACTCCTGGTATCGATCAGGAACGTGAAAGCTTATCCCATATTGCTGCTCGATTTGCTGCCGTGAGGTGGGTTGCATATTTTTTTTAATGAAATGCGTTTACTCGATTGGGAAACTTCTTTAGCGAGGCGAATTGTTCCTTTTATTGTATGATGATGAGATGATTACTTGTATTCATCATCATGCACGCTCATCACCATCATTCTCTCACATAAAAAAATAAAAGAACGACTATGGAGTGATTTGGCTTTGGAACGGGTTCAAATGTTTTAACCTCAACATGCTTGGTCGTTTACTCTCCTTCCGTTCCTTGGAAGGGACAGACGCAGCCACCTCCGCAACTACCAGTGCTGTGATTATGGAATGTTATGAGCAACTATATAGCTCTCAAAGAAATATTGGAATTCATATTGGTCAACCAACTCTTGCTTTTTCAAAAAAAATGTTTTCATGCGGTGAACTGCCAACTGTCCAACAGTGGTCATCGTACGGAAACGCATCAAGCCATGATCAAGAAAACTCTATTACGAGAAGAACATTTAGCAAGTAAAAGGGAAAAGTATTGTCGGCATGATCAATTCAATCAAAAACAATTTATTATTCAATCTCAGGACAATTGTACACTTTCCCATGAATTGAGAAGAAAGGGGCTTCCACTCACAGAAATGGTTGTGAACTTGCCTCGATTATCGCAAGGTTTGATTTCGCTTTTCCACAATTTTGAAAACGACTGTAATGTTTAGAAAGATTTTGTCTGAAACAAATCCTCCAATCACTTCGGTGGTAGAATCAGGTTTGTTTGAAGAATATGCATATTTGTAATAATGTTAATAATTTCATTCATAATTGATCTTTGTTTCCTGTCAACCTGACGAAGTATAACGAATCATGGCTTTCAGGTGCCACTATACATTTTGTGAAAATGTCTGAACTTGAAAAATATTTTTATATTTACAATGATTCTAATCACAGTTTTGGGTTGAATACTCATTATTTTCATGATATTCCAGAGAAAAATGTGAAAAGACTTGAAAAAGTGGATTTACATAGAATTTATCATTATCAATATGAGTTTTATTTTGTACCATTCGTGCTTCGAATTGATTGTGATAAACAATATTGAACTCATAGGGCAATCATAAATGTTGCATCAAGAACTTCAACCAAACACGTTGTTGACCTTGGATGCATCTCTCCAATTGTTCAATTACTGACACCATGCCAACAAGTCAATTATTGGAGATCAGTTGTTGGGCATTGGGAAATATTGCAGGAGATTCCGTTGATATGAGAAATTTGGTACTTTGCATGGTGCAATGCAAAATATTGTAAATGTGATACAAGCCAGCCAACACTTATCTGTGTTAAGGTGTGGTAAGTTTGGAACGCTATTGACACACTTAAATTTTTGAAATGACCAGCGACATTGGCAATTTCAAACTTATTGAGAGGAAAACCTGCACCTTCCGAATGCTACGCCATGGAAGCACTTCCTATACTGAATCGATTGATATTTTCTACTGACATGAACAAGTGCTCACTGATGCAGCATAAGTAGTTTGGCATTCTTTGTGTTATATTTCGACAATACTGTTGATTTGTTTTGCATTTCGATACTACTGACGATTTGTTGCATTCAATATTTCGGCCGACTATGATGTTGAGGACTACTATACAGATGGGCTCTTACTTATGTGACAGATGGATCCAATGATAAAATTCAAGCTGTTATTGACAGTGGCTGTTTGAAACGAGTAATCATGCTCCTCTCTCATGAATCATCATCAGTAGTGGTTCCAGCAGTAAGGTAAGTACAAACCCAAATCGCTTATTATTACAATTCCATATACGAAAAATATTATTAACAACAGAATCGTTGGTAACGTTCAATCCAGAATGGTTGCATCACCCGAGATAACCTTACACATTATTTTCATTCAAAACCACCCTTACTTCACAACACTTTTGAAGCCTAGTTACATATTTGTAGTTTAAAAAATCAAAAAAATTTGATATTTATTAGACTTTGCGCCAGTGGCACGGAACAGGGCTGAGCAGTCTCCTTCGCAGGCACTCCAGGATCAGAGCGTAGAAACTTCGTAACGAACAGAAGCCACCTTCAACAATTCGGTAGGGGACCGGAACTGAACCCTCGACCAGAGGTTGCCGTAGTCGAGGTTTGACTACTGAGCCACACTTGGCAACTAAAAAATCAAAAAAATGCTTCCGCCCTCACCAACACCCAAAAAACGTCGTTTTCTTATTCCTCCCTTTCTTTCTTTCAACAGGCATAACCAAGAAAACGGAAGTTCTTCGGAATTATCTGTTTCCCAATCATTTCCGAATTCTTCCTTATCTCAGGTTTCTGGATCTGTTCTCACCTCACATCAAGAAGAATCTCATTCCTTGGACTCTCGACCTTCTTATTCAAATTCAATTCCCCATTCTTCGGATCCATCTCCCCTTTTTACAAATCAGCCTGTAACAATTAAGGATCTGTTCCAGTATACTGTATCTATTGAGGGATTGGATGACTTTATATTGGATCAAATTCTCTCTGACTCCATTGTATGGCATACAGTAAATGCGGAGGCCCGTTCAATGACTAACAATATGAAAGAGATTTTGTCAACGTGTATGACTGCGCACCACAGCTTTTTTCGTCGAGCAAAAGCAAATTCGCATATTATTGTCGAAGGGTATGCAAGGACAGGAAAAACAACGCTTTCTAAAACTATTTTCCCTCATATGATGTCCCGCTTAATCGTTCACAAGCAAAAGTACCCAGATCCAGGGAATGTAACATCCTTCAAGCGTTTTAGACTCTTTTTCTTCAACTGCACTCTAATTGATAGAAGTAGAACTACTTTCTTAGAGGATATTTGTGTTGGAACTTTGGGTATGTCTCAGGTTCCACATATTCAACAATTGGTCAACAAATTGAAAAAGCATTTTGAAGACAAAAGTGTTTTCAATTTTATAGTGGTTGATGAGGTACAGGCCCTCCTTCCTTCGGAACTAGCACAGTTGAAACTCTTGCTGAAGGATCCCACTCTGAACACAAACATTTTTGGAATTATTACTGGATCCACTCAAGCTGAGGTTGTAAGAAGAATCGCTCTTGTTCCAAGCAACTGCTTTGCGTGGAGTGATGCTCGTGTGAGATACACAATTCCTAGATGTTGCAGTGAGAACCAACTTCAAGAGTGCCATCACTGGTTGAAAAAAGAGTTTCCCAACGTGCAACTGGATGATATCGATTTGATTAGGATACAAAACCATTTCGGAACGTTGCATTGGAGCTTTTTGACCCAGATTTATGACTCCCTTGCAAATGAGAAAACGTTCATCAAGAGACAATCCCTAAATGTGGTACTACAAGACATAACCAATTCTTTATTTGAGATCTATGATAGAGACGTCATGCAAACCATTTTATCCATGCAACATCCGAACGCTATTGAGCATTTGCTGCAAGGAATTTTTGAAAAGAACTTCTTCGACAACCACCCTTGCGAGAGGGAGTACTTTTTCGTAAAAGACTCCAACTCTCAAAAGTTTATTTTCAGAGACTTGATATTCTCAAGGGTAAGTTAATCAATGTCCATTCTCTATGAGAGAAAATGATAATCTTGTTGCAGTATTTGCGTTGTAATTACGAACACTCTGATGGCAGAATAAAGTACTGGAAGGGAGAGAAATCAGGGAAACGGATTTACATGCTTTTGCTACCTTTCATCGTAGCAAGTGAGCAGGCTAAAGGAAACAATTTCTCTAAAGCAGTTATTAAGGTTTTACAAAAACGAATTATTAACGAGAAAGCCTTTTTTACGTTGATGCCGGATCGATGTGAAAGAATCGACTCCTTTTCTGGAAAGAACAAAACACCAGAGGAGAAGCTTCGTATGTTCTTGATTTTCATACGAAACGTTTTGAGTCATTCGCATAACCAGGCAGCAGCAATTTATGAAATTATTATGGAGTTGTTCTGTAACAATGATGAAGAAAACTTTCAAAGTCTGGTATTGGACATATCTCCTCATGTTGAAATTTAAGCCGAGATTATTTTAACTCCTTGAATTTCATATTTTGACTGGCTTTGGGTACTTAGTTCTAAATCTCTAAATTTTCTTGTTGTCACCTTCTTGGTGCAATGCATGATCTATTCATTGAATAATCTCAAAATCTTTCCAATAATTTGCAATAATTTGTTCAAGTTGGAATTGTTGTTTCCCTTCTGAACAGATCAAACAGTTCTTCACTTGCTGAGCAAAAAAAAATCACCGTGTTGAACACAGCAGTATGTCCTGTCACTGTCTATGTGGCAGATAGTGGAAAAACCAGATATAGGCGCTTTGTCCAGCATACACAACATAACAACTTCTTGTTTGACCCAAGCAAATCCATTTCTAAACTTTAACGACCATCATGATTCGAGTTTGTTACTCGTCAGCAAAAAGAAGACACAAGTACAACCGTTGTCCCTTTTACGGCCTTCTCATCAATGTTTCCAACAAGCCTTGCAAACCATTAAGTTAGATTCCAGTTCTCAATTTGAATCATTTTCCTTTTGAATGAATTGAATTTTCATTCCGTCTTAACATGCCCCAAATCTTGTACAATTGACACATGTCAATTTTAGCGGTACTTTTTGTGGAAGTGAAGGGGCTTTGTTACTTGCTACAAGTCCATTCATGAAAAATTTAGTAGCATTCAATTTGGAGGGAAATTTGAAAACCAAATATGAACAGTTGTGTTTACAGAGAACATGATCAAATTGTTCTCTGTTGGAAGTTATATGCTTGCATTTGGGAGTGAATTATTCCAATTAATGTCCATGAACACGACCAATGCATTACCTCAATATTATGAAATTGGAGGAAACGATAATGGAAAAATGTATTTTGATGAAAATTCCAAAACCCAATCCATACTGCAGAATTTCTTGAACTCGTTGCAGGCATGCTGAAGTTGAATCCTTCGGAAAGAATTCTGTCAACGTTTGTAATTTCTAAATTAATGAAATAAAATTCTTAAACCTTTGAGGTTGAGTAGTACCAACACCTAAAAATCCAACCTTGAAATTATAATTTCGAAGTCACAACATTAATATCTAGGTTGGGATTGTTTGGGTTTCATAATGTTGTCTACATCAGAATGTCATCAAACTTGACCAAATGCAAGTCCATACATTGATCAAGCGCTGTGGTTAATTTCATCTTTTAGTGGATACTTGTCTTGTTGCTGATCAACGTTTGCTTGCTCATTGTTATTGGGTATCTTGTAATACTTTGAGCAAAATGCAATTAAAAATAGGTCTTGATTGTAGCATGATATTGTTCTCGATTAATAAAGAGTTCATCATTGAAAGATTTCTATTGTCCTAATAAAATTAAAATCCAATCCTTCACGATTCAACTCCGAATGAGGATTGATTAACAGTAACTCACCAGTACGCATATTTAAACAAGCACCCGAAGCACAAAAATCAATTTTTCTTTCCAAAACAACTCTTCCGTTTGGGCTAAGTATTTGAATTACATCAAGTTTAGGATAGAGTTTGTTGCTATAAATCAATATCATATTATTGGATGAGCGATCATGGAGAAGAAATTCAACATTATAGTCAGTCATTCTTCTAATCTTCATTATAACATGTCCATCTCTGGTTACGAGCGTATGGTTCTTGTAATATTCACAAACCAACAGATTTCTATTTCCATCCAATTCAATACGCTCTAAGTGATGAAAACCACGAATTATTTTCAATAAATTCCCATCAAAACCATTCAGCACTAAAATGATGTCGATACAAGCAACAAAATGACGCCACTTCCGCAATGATTCACTTGATTGTCATCGATATCAATGGTTAAATCTTTCATCGGACGATCAGTAGCAGCGTTACTAATGTCCAAATATGTTGTAATATATTTTCATTACATCCTGCTAATATTTTGGTAACGTTGTATTAACTTTTCATTCCCGAGGTCATAAATTGAATTGTCATTTTCACAAATCTTAAGTATGCAGTTGAAATATCTCGTTGGGGAGCTCACAGAAGCTTTGATTTCTTTTCTCAAGAAATTTGTGAAGACTACCGGGATGATGACCCAGTAATTCTTCCCCTTTGTTTTCTCGTTTTTTTCACTTCTCAACCGGTTGTATTGTTTCTGTAAATCAAAAATGATTAATCGGGAAGTTATAAAATCTCAACAATAGGATTTCCCAAAAAACAATCACCACATGCTTTCATAAATCCACTCTCCACAACTGAGTACAGAACATCGTTTAAAGCTTTAGAAGTCCGTTTAATGATAAGAATTGTTGTTATTGTGTAGGGATCGTGTATTAGGGACATTGTGAAAGAACACCAATTAATAGAGCGGAGAAAAACGACTATAAGCCTCGTATTTGAAGTGTAAAAAACAAATCCCGCCCACTCTCCAAAAACCCTAACGAAAAAAAACTCTTTTTCCAGCAAGAAGTCTAGCCTTAATTGAAGGTTGATCATCATAACGCCCGAGAACCAAAAATCCTTGAATAACATTGGTCATCAAATGACTGAAACTCAATCCGACCCCAATACTACTTCTAATAACCCGGTAAGAAGACGATCTAGAGGAGGAAGAATATTATATCATAAGGCTTCATCGTCTCCTTCCACAAATACTCAACAGGCTGGAAACACAAGCCCACAGGGCTCAAACTCTTCTACAACCAGTGCTTCAGCCAATACTCCTTCCCATAACTCGTTAAGTAGAGGACAGAGAGGCAAACGAAGAGGTAGAAGAGGAGGATCATCATTTGATATAAACCCTGCGTCATCACCTCCTTCCACAAATCCTCAACAAAGCTCTGATGAAAAGCTAGAACTAAGAGTTCCAAAGTGTATGTTGAATTAGTTATTGAATTTGGACCACAAATATTTCATCATTAATAGTCATCAAGGTAAAGGATGTTGTTTCCCCAATCTCCGCATCGCCTCTAATTACCAAGAAGGAACTAACATCAACAAACGATAGTAATACTCCAATTGTTTCTTCATACTCCGAACCAATCACTGAATCTTTGGGTGCTGGTTTGTCAGCACTTCGTTCACAAGAAGTAGAAACATCAAACGACTCAACATTGTCATCTTCAACTACATCCTTGCTCGAAACACCCACTCTCGATTTGACTGATTACGAGAGTTGGAATGCCGAACAAGTAGCTTCACTATTGATTTCTCCTAAATCTTTGGGTGGTGCTGGTTTGTCGGTTGAAAAGGTGAAGCCTTTGTATGAGGCTGGTTTTGATGGCTCATCTCTCCACAACATTGTTGAGAATATCAAGTTGGACGGTGTAAAGTATGCCATTGATCAACTGCAAAGTACTTATAACAAGAGTAGCATTCCTCAACTCTCCGACACTTGTCAAACTGTTGTATTTTGGGTGCTCGATCAATTAATGACCAGACAATATTCACTATGGCAATTGGAGCCAGTGAGTAAACAAATCAAAGAAAAATTGGGCGAACCAATTTCAAAAGGAGGTGCTGAGTTGAGTCTTGATCAAGTTTCTTCATTGGATGTCAAAACTCTCAGCAAAGTTATTGCTGCCGTAGAGAAGGAAATAGTGAAAGGTGTAACAGAAGAAAAATGTATGCAATATGCCATCACGATTATGAAAAGCGACAAGGACTTTGCTTCAGTGTCAGAATATACTTGCAAAGCTGTTGCTGGGTGGATTACTACCAAATTGAGAAAGGCTGGCGAAGGAGGTTCTTTAATTAATATACCGTCCAAGTTGTTTGATCTTTGGAAGCACAAGTTGGAAGGAGAAATATCTGAAAATTTACGAAAGGAAAGAACAAATGCAAGATATGACCATCTCCGTAATTTACAAGATCCAACGAACATGAAAAAACTGGAAACACTCATTGGAAAATTTATCGATCTTCCTGTATTTGGAACGGGAGAAAGTGATTTGTCTCCAAAAGGCTTTAATCCAAATGCGAAATATCTTTTAACTCAGCAACGATTTGATATACTGAACAATGTTGTTAACGGAAAAACCACTGGATTGGTTTTATCGGGTCCTCATGGAGTTTCAAAATCATATACACTTTATTTGATAGTTGCCTACGCATTTGTAAATTCAATTCCAGTACTTTATGTTCCAAGATGTCGACTATGGCTCAGCAGTTACAACACAGATCAGGAGGCTGGTGCCAATAACTACTTGCGTAGATTGTTCTTTTCTCTGAATAGTGACATTCTTTCCACGACCCAAATTGTTGAATTACAGAAAGCAAGAAATGTGGTCCGTCATTTGAGCACACATTTTGGAAATGTGGGACCTATGTTCTATTTGTTTGATGAACATAATGAATTGTACAGACCTGACTATTACAACAAGATTCCTGCTTCCCTTGCTTATTTCCAAGATTTTACCGGATGGACAGGAGATACATCAGAGAAGCACACAGTTACCGTATATTGCGGAAGTGCTCATAGTTCCTTTGAAGATAATTTACCAGGAGGAGACGAAGAAAGAGTGGTCAGAATAATTCCTCCAACAACAACAGAGTTTGAAACACTGGTAGCAGACTTTGGTTTGAATCCAAAGGATAAAAGAATAGCCCATGTAACAGGAAGAATTCCAAGAGAGTTGAGATACTTGGCAAACTATTTGAAGGGCAAAAAGGGTACTGATGAAGATTTCAACCAATTTGTCATGAATATGCGTGGTGTATATGATCGAAGATTGGATTTATTAGTTAGTACATTGGACAAAAATAAGTTGGAAAAGTTTGAAAAGACGCTGGAAGATCTTTTTGCTCTTGGTATTTTAAATGGAAGACCTGATCGTGTTTCAGGGGTTGTATATGATAAGGGTTTATTGTACAAGGATTCTCTTGGAAAACTTTTTATCATTAACGATCCAGCAAAGAGATGTTTATTCCATCACTACTGCACAAAACTTGACATGCCAAACATACCGAAGAATGTTCATAATTCAGCGACAGGAATAATGTTTGAAAAACACTTGGTGAGACAAGAGTATGGAATTGGTAAACATTTAGAAAGAAAATTCTATGTAACAAATAAGTTGAGCTCAAACCCCACAACATCCACGTTATCATATGAAATTAACCTACAAGAAAGTTTTGATCTAAAGGATTTAAGCACTCTCGATCGAAGGAATTTCTTGAAAGGAACGGGAGTATTATTCATTCCAGAATCCGAAACTTTCCCAAGCTTTGATTATGTTATTGTTATGTACAAAGAGAAGCCAGTGGAAGTCTTGTTGAAACAAGCCACAATTTCTACTATTGATTCTCATTACTGTGATCAAAAGGGTAAAACAGATATGGATAAATTATTGAAACGTTTTTATGTTTTAGATAGAAAAGGAAAGGCAATGAAAAGAAAACAAAAAGCTCCAAAGCAGTATCATTTCTCATTACTCGAATTGATACTTCATGGAATTGTTGGAACTGAAGAAAAAGTGGAAACGGAAACCCTTGGAAAGTTACAAGCTCGCAAGGACGATCTAAAGTTCATCAAAGATGGAAAGCTTGAAAACTCAGTAACCTATGGTGGTGTTCAATTCACTTGGCATTACATTTATGAATCTGGTGCGGAAGAACAATCTGTAAAGAAGGTAAAGGAACATGGTATACTTTTTAGGAACCGGCAAGAAATTGAAGCCGATATGAAGATTTACTTTGAAAAATAAGTGCTGACGGGGTTTTGGTTTTGACCCATGTTTCGGAGACTAAAATTAGGTAGTAAAAGGGAGTTTTACTGAGGTTTATTGTGGTCAATAAAATCCTGGAAAGAGGCATTCCGCGATTTTCTCAATAACCAGACATAATCACACTATTTCTTCAAAAGAGACCCCCTAGTCGTTTGAGTTTATCTATCTTTTGATGGTATTCACTTGCTCTAACTCGTTGTGGTTCTTGAGATATGAACTCTTAAACTACAGGCGTTTTTCTTCATCGGTGATAGAGTGGTCAGAAAACCACTGTCGTTGGGACATGAGATATTTGCATGAGGTGACAGATAATGGCAAACAAACATACTTTTTTTGGGAGTCTGATCTCAATAACTACTTATCAAAAAAACATTGTTCTTTGGTGAGGATGGGTTGATTTGTTGGGTTCTAGGCCCATTATGGATGCCCAAACCCTTGCAAATAACAATTAAACTGTTTAAATCGCTCTATTTGATCATGAAACGATGAGATCTAGCTGCGAATAAATGGCTGAAATCTCATTTTAGAGAAAAATGATTGTCGAAGATTTTCGCTGGAAATGTCTGATAGTAAATTTTATAACTTTCAGGTTGATATGGTCTAGAGTCTGTCATGGATGGCAACCTTATGATTGAACTTGGAATACGTTAGTACATCACAAGATCTTGCATTGGACCAATTTTGAAGGTTGGTGATAGCCTCTGACAGCCGTAGGGCGAATCCATATTTATGTGTCGATAGTAGCCTCAGCGAAAAAATGACTCTCTCAAAGGAGAGGCTCACCATTATCATTCTTCATCTACTTGAATCCAGATAATCACAGAGGATGTTGTACACATCATTGTAAGCATGCTATGACATTTGTGGCTCCTAGGTACCTTCATGATCACCACCATGGTATGTTATGTGAAGAGGAAGTCCTGTGATAGTTATGGTTGTCGTCAAGAAATACAATTTGATATATACGTCATTCATGAGTGTTTGTGTATGTATCTGTTGTTTGTGACGAGATATTCGAACCATGTGTTGAACAGAACAGCTCCTGTCTCAAGCAGTCAGGTTTTTGGGGACTTTGATATTTTTTTAAAAAATATTTTGGACTCAAAAAATTCCAAGTTCAAAATGATAGAGAGGTCCAGCGAAAATATGAAATATAGCTCTTTTTCAATAAATACTGATCAATTGTATCTCAAATTGATATATGTAGTGTTACTCACCATGTAGAACACTAATATTATGCTCGTGTGTTGATGACTGACTCCTGACGCGGAATTGTGGTACTCCTAACAGCTGAGTGTGTCCGTGAGGGTGACGCTGCTTGATATAATCCTCTCCTGCTAATTAAACGTAGAGTGTAGTGAGTATGTGACATTTGTAGAGTATTTGTATTGTTTGTGACATGAAAATCAGCTTCTATGTTGAAGAGTCGGTTTTTCGCTGGAGGTATGACTTTGACGGAAGAATCACCTGTCATTTGTGACATTCCCGCTCAAATTGAAAAAAAATGTCTCAAAAACAATTACGCCAAGCAGAACTTTCATCATCAGATGATGATGATGCCGGAACTGATACCGATGATGATGACGATCAGCTTTTTTGTTTTTTGAAGCGTCCATGTGCTTCCTCCAAACATAATTCAAGAATGGATCACAAGCCATCCAATGACAACTGTGAGAAGGGAAATACCAAAAAATTCACTATGAAGGACATTTTAACGCCTTCTGAATTCCTTGTCAGATCCAACTCACAACAATATGCTGTTCCGTCGAATGAAGTTCCTCATTTACTTACAGCTCTTCTAAAAATTGTTAACAATCCGAACAAAACACAATCTCGTGAAGAACTCAAACAGTTGGCAGAAGTGTTTGAATAATTTAAAACTAGGACAGAAGAAAGTGACAAGGACTTTGAAAAAGACGCTATGGATCATATTAAAAAGTTATTGAAATACGATGACAAAGTACGGCCAAATATTGGTGGAAGAAATGAAACTCCAACCATTGTTCAAGTGAATGTCGGAGAGATGAAGAAACGACTTCATAATATGCCTCACCATGATCACGACAGACCCGAGACAGATCAATATGAATCGGAATTACTCTCAAGAAACCATGAAAAGATACAAGCAGTACTCAACAACTCAAAACCATTGAAACCAAGGGAAAAGGAAAAGCCAAAAGATTTAATTCCATCCATCGAGCCACTAGATTTCACTAAAGATTTGGACGAGTTGTTCAAGGGACTAAAAGAAACTTTGACACTTAACTTCGCGAAAGGAACAGAGGAATATCAATTTTATGCAATGCGGACTTACGTCTATTTCTATAATAGTGTGGTAGCTGAAAAATTTCTCTTTTCCAAATATCAGCGACAACCATTTCCAGTCAAAAAGATGACCTTTTTATTATTTTTAATTTGGGCAAGACAGAATGGATATGCGTACAAAACTGTCAAAGATTGCTTTTGTAATTCTTTTTGTAGAGTAATTGAACTCAATCCAATTCTAGGAGAATCACCACGAAGTGCTCATCCTGAATTGGTGGGAGGAGTGCTTCGATCTTTAGTGAGAAAGTACGGAAAGAAAACATTTAAAGTTAATGCATTATTGAACACTCATATGTTGGCATGGATCGATGAGCTTGACATGAACAAGTTTTCAGATATAATGGTGAAAGCACTAATTCTCGTTGGTAGATACACTGGATTAAGAGGAGACTCTCTTGTTCACATGAATTTGTCAGATATTGAATTTAAAACGAAAGATCATGACGAAGATGAATTTAGCGTAAACCTTTACATGACCATTAGAAAAGAAAAGCATTTACAAGGATGTGAGACACGCAAAATATGTGTTCATGGAAAGAAATCACAAAAATATTGTCCTGTGATCAGTTTACTCTATTATTTATACGTGAGAAACAAATCAATGTTTAAGAATGGAGTTAAAACTTGGAAAGAATTTCTCACTTCGAAAGATTTCTCGTTTGCCGCAAATTATACAGATGAACCTTTGTTTGTTCAAATCACTAATAACCACCGAGTCACGTCGAAAGATTTATCTAACCTACTCAAATCTTCCTCTAAAACACATCTTGGAATAATTTATTCAATGAGAAGTCTTCGATCTGGATGTATTATCATGATTTTTATTACATTAGTATTAATTTATGGACCTGATAGCGTCAGATCATTAGGAGCTATTCCAATAAGCGTTTGGATTGGTCATCTTCGACATGAATCAGCTGAATATTACATAAGACAAGCAATCACCTTATGCTTCAATTACACTGAATTCCAACATGGAGTTATTGACAAAAATATTACTATTAATGAAATTGATATGATTTATTGTTCAGGGTTAAAGAAAATTGTGAAAGATTCAACTATTAAGCGCTTCAAACCACCTCGTACTGTCATAGATGAGTTTAAATTATATCTACCAAGAGGCAAGAAATATTCTAATCCCGAATTGAAAAACAAGCCAGTGGTGATCCCCAGTTCAATTAAGGAACATATTAATGAAACTTACGAATTAGGTATTGAACAAGCTGAACGAAAGGATACTGCATGGTTTTCTTTTTTCATGAAATGTGCGGACGTGTTGCAATATACTCACAATATTAATTGGAATCAATTGAAGACCTCAAAGAAGAAGCTTACTAAGACTGTGAAATTTACATTGGTGAAGAAATGGATTGTTGAGAATTGGGAAAATCAGTCTGACATGTTGCACGAAGTGTTTTGTGCTGTGTCTGATTCGTGGGAAGTTCCTAATTGTGCCTTTCGTTACAAGAGAAGAAAATCAGATAAGGTTACTGTTGAGTGGGGTGGGTTTGGCTCCACCTACAGTAGTTCCTCGATTAGAGCAGTGTTCAAATAGAGCGGAGTGCTGATTTTTCAGAAAATTTTGAGTGTTATTTTGTGCTTAAATTGAACGGAGTCACTAGTTGGAAGAACAGTGTTGTACCTGTTTCCATTGAACGTCATCGTCCTCTGAACCATCTTTAGCAAGACCTAACCCTGCTTTTTTGAATCCGTTCACCACAACTGAGTCAGGTACATCCTTCAACGCATTGGAAATCCATTCGAGAATAAGTTTTTTGGTTACGCTATAGAAATTTTCTTGAGTACCCTTCTCAATTCTGTCAGCCTGGTTGTCATACCACTCACCTTGTAGTTGCTTGTAATTTGATTTGAACGATCTATTCATGGAAAGATCACACATCTGCATAACCTCGCTAGCATTCTTTGGTAAAGGCAGAATGGTAATGTCTTTGACCTTATCCCTTAGTAGGTCAACTATTGGTAAGTGGACATGACTATCTAAATTATCGAATGTGAGGAGTTTATGACCATCAAGGCTCTTTAGGAAAGGAATTAATACCATGTCACAATACTCTTTCATCCTAGGTCTATCCATCCACGCTTTCTCTTGTGCTGTAAACTTCACGTTGGGCTTCATTACTAAGATGGCGCCTGCTTCTTTCCTTGGAACCTTTTTCTGTTTGAAAATAATGAAAGCAGGTGCTTTCTTCACAGTAAGATTCTCAACATTCATAGCGGCTGCCAGAACTGTGGTGAATCTGTCCCTTTCTCCCTTTGGTGCTTTACATTTGTTGTTGTCAGATTTATCTAAGGTGACACCTTTACCATCCTCCATCCACTTCATGCAGTATGTTTCGTCATAATTAATTACCCATTTTACATCCTTTCTCTTTTCGATATCAATCACTTTGCATTGGAATTGTTCACAATCATTCAATACTTCTGTTGTGAGCTTGAGAGGCTTTAAATTTGGAGATCTTACATTAACATCATTTCGCTTCTTGAATTTGTCAAACCAGCCATTGGAGGCTTGAAGTATCTTGCCTTCGGATTCTGCCGCATCTCGTGCCCATTTCTTCACCTGCCTGGTTCTCACTTTCAATCCCTTGGTTCTACGTTCTCTGATTTTTGATACTACTTTGGTTTCTGCACCGACATCAAGTACAGGCTTCCTTCCTCCTCCTTTCTTTCGTATGCCTTCAACTTTTTCTTTGGAGTTCACACGGCTGTCTTTTCTCCACTCATAAAAAGATGACTCGGTGCATTCATACTTGTTGATTGCTGCAGTATTGCCATGTAATTTAGCGTAAGCCAGTACTTCTCTCTTCTCTTTGACGGACCAAACTTTTCTCTTCTGCTTGTGGCTGGATTTTGCAGGCATTTTTTTGATGGTGGGAAAAAAGTGTAACGAACACTCACTATTAGAGCGGAGTCCTCAAAAATTCCTAAAGCTCCGCTCTAATCGAGGAACTACTGTACTGTATGAGACATGGTTTTTTCCTAGAGTTGTTGCAATCATTCATGTGTTGATCTTGTTCTATTGTGTTATTATTGATGTTGTGGAGTGTTGTGATTCATTGTGTGATAGAAAGATTCGCTCATGTCACATTTGACAATTTTTCATGGATAGCCTGTGTTGATTCATGATGGCTACATTGAAAATAAAGAATTAATTCAGTGATTTTCATGATCAGTGGGGTTTGGCTCCACCTACTCTTTTTTTTGAGCCATTTTAACGACTTTACTATCAAAAAAAAATTTTGTTTTCAATAAGTCCTGTCCACGGTCCGAAGTTAACTGCTGAGGACGAGATATACTCAAATCCTAGGCTATTTTTCATTTCCTTTCTAATGGTGTTGAAATTTCTAAGAGATGTGAAGTGGTTGTTGAGTTATTTCACTCTGAATTTTGAAGGTAAATTGGCCCAAAAAAAAATTTAATGTTGTAAATGAAGAGAGGATGATTATTTATTATCGGACTGGTGTTTCAAACTGTAAAACCAGAGAGAAGCAAGGACATTGGAAAACAAGGTTTTTGGGGACTTGGAAATTTTTTTTAAAAATGTTTTGGACTCAAAAATTCCAAGTTCAAAATGATAGAGAGGTCCAGCGAAAACATGAAATATGGCTCTTTTTCAATAAATACTGATCAGCTGTATCTCAAATTGATATATGAAGTGTTACTCACCATGTAGAACACTAATATTATGGTTGTGTGCTGATGACTGACTCCTGACGCGGAAATGTTATACTCCTAACCGCTGAATATGTCCGTGAGGGTGATGTTGCTTGACATGATATTCTCCTGATAATTAAACGTAGAGTGTAGTGTGTATGAGATCTTTGTAGAGTGTTTGTATTGTTTGTGACATGAACAGTGATGTACCTGTTGAATGAATCAGCTCCTATGTTGGAGAGTCGGTTTTTCGCTGGAGGTGGAATATTTTTAAAAAATTTCAAAGTTCAAAATTCAAGCAAAAACTTGAAGTGAGGGTTGGCTCTATTTCGATAAATACTGATTGATATCATCTCTTATTTGAATATGTTGTTTAACTAACTGTGTGGAATATTGTTATTAGATTTAAATTGAAGAAACTGACTTGTGAGGAAGTGCACGTTTCTCTCCAGAGGCTTTTTTCATGATGATCTTTGATTTCTAGGTTACATACTATATATCAACAATTAGGTATTTATGTTGTCTAGATGTACGTTTTGAAAATTTTAATATTTGTGAAGTAGTTGTTGAGATATTAAGGATCAAAATGAGCTTTCCCGGTCAGATCACGTCAAATGTCCCTCTCGACCAAAATATCTAAAATAACGATTCCATTTCTTGGATAGATATTAGGTTTTAATCCATAGAATATAGAGAGAGTTGAATTTTTGGTAGTTACTAAGTAGTTATTGAAGGGTTTGGCGGGCGGCATGTCGTTTGGGGCGCTTGATTTGCGATAATGACATTCCAGCAAAATTGAAGATGCGGTCTTTGTCTCGAAAGTTTGTTCTCATGTAATGAATTCATCAAAAATGTCTCCATTTCTTCTTCTCTATCTGCTGAACTTGGAATTTTTCGAATTGGTGAAGTAGATGTTGTGGTTTCATATATCCTTTTTGTGGGAGTTGTTGCTCAGCGGACTTTTGATATTCTTCAAAAAAAAAATTGTAAAAAAAACGCGCCAAAACTCCCTGCGTTGTTGTGGCCGTCATCAGCAAGTTTCATCATGAATTGACATGGTCGTTCATTGAAATTGATTGTATAGCATGTCAACATCATTTTCAGCAGTGATCAACACGTTTTGGGAGTATTCTCTAATTATTCTTCGAGTGATCTTCAACAGGTAATTTTTAAAAATTCTGTGAACTTTTCCGATTGGATGTGAAGATACTGGAATGAAACTGATGATGGAAGTATTGTTGTAGTGATCGGATACCATAGAATTGATCATTGATTCCATTCAAATTGATAAGGATTCCTCTCAGTAGGATTTTTAAAAAGATTCAATATAACAATATATAACTTGTTTTTAATATCAATTAGTCCCACGCAGAGAGGAAGGAGATATTAAGCGAAAGATTTCTTGTTGTTATAGTGGATATCGAGATAACCCCAATTTTTGTACTAAAAAATCAGGTCCTGTGGTGGTTGACCATCCTTTAAAATTATCGTTGAATGATCAAAACTTGAATATTTCCATCAATTAAGATATAAGGAAGTAAGGCGCTGCTGTTTCGTTCGAGTTGAACGTGAAAGTAGTCATATATTTTGTGCGTCCAAGTAGGTGATATGTAACTCTTGAAGTTGGTCATAATTTAAACATGGACGAGCAAAAGTCGGTATTCCCTCGAAATTGGATACCGTTAACGTTGATTGAAGAATCGTTCAGTGATATGTTGGCCTTGAACAGCTTCCATGATTGATCTTCAAAGTAATTGTTGCTGTGAACCACTATAGATGATTATACACCCTCAATAAAATCAGCCATAATTCATGGATGCTGTTTTCATCATGGATGGAATATTGAATTATCGTTGTTGAGTCCTATCCCGAAACATGGTTATGGAATCTTAATGCGAGTGAGTCTTTTTGATGACTGAATCATTGATATTGAGTTCCTGTTGGTAGTTGTGAGTGATGAGAGTTGCTACTGTTCTACATTATCATCGTAAAATGTTTACCACATGAGATGAACATTATTGAATTGATTTAATTGAGAGAGGGAGGTGTGTTCTTGTTTTTTGGTGTTTGGTTTCATTCAATGAAAAAGGCATGTATGTTCAAAATATTGCCTTGAATTCGACAACGCTTCATCAAGGGTGGTGATTTATTTACTAAATGTCATGAGTACAAACCAGGAATTGAACAGACTCACCTATGGATCATACCTGATTGAAATGTGAACAGCTCTTTTTTCATGTATTAATTATTGTGTGAATCCGATTGTTTGGTAGTTGTTGTATTGTTGAACATTGAGTGCTCTCATCTTCAAAGTGGTATGAATAGTCGGTGGACACATCTTGTGAATTTTGCGCGTCCAAGTAGGTGATGTTAACTCTTGGAGTTTGTTACGATTTTTAAATGGACGTGCAAAAATTCGTTATTACATTCCCTCCAAAACGATTACGAATGAACCATTCACAAACAACAGCAAGAATGGTTCATTGATATACTGTTAAGCAAGCAGATGACGGAATCTTAATCGATACAATTTAATAATTTGTACTTGTAGTCAACTTGGTCTGCAACAATGTTGAATCTATCATGTTGTTCATCGAATGGATTCAATGTTTAATGATACATTCATCATTATGACATCAGATTATAATTCTGATATGTGTCATCAGTATTGAGTTGGTGGTGCGCTTTCATCTGTTGTATGATTCATTGCAAGAAGTGACCTTGTTGTATTTTGCGTTTGTTTGCTGTGATTCATTGTTGAAAACAAAGGTTCAATATGATGATTTTCATGATTTGTGCATGTACTACATGGATGGTGTGCAAGGTGTGTTCATGTTTGTGGTCGTCATCTCATTTATTGAATTTTGTTCAGCAAGTGATCATGTTTATAGTTGATGGATTGTATTATTTTGAATAAATCATGATGAACTACAATGATAGTGATCATCTTTATGTGTGTTTCAAGTGTGTTGTTTGATTCATTTGACTAATCTCTACAGACTGTACTGACCATAACATTTGGCGGATGAAACATAAGATGAAAAGTGTGTGGTAGATTTCATGTTTTCCAAATTCTGATATTGGTTGGAATACATGTTGACCATGATGATGTCATGATATGTGATTGATTTCGAGGATCCATCTTTTATGTTCATTGTGAACAATGCAATAAAATGTTAAATAGTTGATGGAGTTGTGCACCACAGATATGACATGAATTTTGATTATTCTATCATCATCATGAAGTAATCATGGTATACTATATGTTACATCAATTTGAAGTGTTGTTCGTTGTTGTGTGCATGATGTGATATGAAGGTTTGAAAAAAATGTGACATGTTCTTTGTATGTTGTGATAATGTACACTACTCCTTATGAAAGTGATACTACATCTTTACAATAGCTAGTACAACATATATATGAAGTTATATTGAATGTCTATTGATACTTGTGGAGATAATTGATAAATGTTGACTTTGAATGTTTTTAATTTGGTCTTGGTCTTGGACATTTCTTATTGGGTTTATTGGGTTTATTGGGTTTATTGGGTTTATTGGGTTTATTGGGTTTATTGGGTTTATTGGGTTTATTGGGTTTATTGGGTTTATTGGGTTTATTGGGTTTGGGTTTTGGGTTTTTGGGTTTTTGGGTTTGGGTTTGGGTTTGGGTTTGGGTTTGGGTTTGGGTTTGGGTTTGGGTTTGGGTTTGGGTTTGGGTTTGGGTTTGGGTTTGGGTTTGGGTTTGGGTTTGGGTTTGGGTTTGGGTTTGGGTTTGGGTTTGGGTTTGGGTTTGGGTTTGGGTTTGGGTTTGGGTTTGGGTTTGGGTTTGGGTTTGGGTTTGGGTTTGGGTTTGGGTTTGGGTTTGGGTTTGGGTTTGGGTTTGGGTTTGGGTTTGGGTTTGGGTTTGGGTTTGGGTTTGGGTTTGGTTTGGGTTTGGGTTTGGTTGGGTTTGGGTTTGGGTTTGGGTTTGGGTTTGGGTTTGGGTTTGGGTTTGGGTTTGGGTTTGGGTTTGGGTTTGGGTTTGGGTTTGGGTTTGGTTTGGGTTTGGGT